ATTAAAACCTCGAAGTCTCCCAAGTAGACTAAGTTTAACTGGGATGCAGAATCAATTATCCACTGCTTCCTGTTAAACGATATGCAAACCAATATGATACAATGATTAAAATATTGGGACTAGGAACCAATACATGTTCAAGTCCCTACTTGTTCACTCTCTTAGCAAAATGTATGTTAAAAAATGTGTTCTGTTTATTAAATTAAAAGGCCTTTGAGCATCCAGAATACATTATTGAAATGCAATACTAAAAATGAATGAACCATGTCTCATAGCAACCTGGATCTCCAATTGCAGATATGCATGAATTTATATCAGAAGGTTGGGTACTTTGATCCATTAATCTAGTGGATTGTAATCCACTATGATCCAATTTAATCTAGTGGAAGAGCAGATTGTCTCCTATACCATGGCTGTCACAGTTAGAAGGCTTATAGTATTAAAAATGGGGGAAGTGGTGTGCTTTCCAAGCTTTTATTTAAAAGGAGACACGGGTCAGGTTAGAATCTTAAAGAGAAGATCTGTTATGAGGGGCGTTTAACAGCTGCTCTGAATTCTGTTGCTATTATGAGGAAGGCTTGTGAAAGGTATCTCTGGGTTATTTACCTATTTTCTTGTATTGCTCTCAAGGATGGTTTCTTGGTCATGCACTGCAGAAACTCTCAGCAAAGGAAACAGCTTGAGCTTTCTCCTGTCAATAACTTGGTATTTCTAAAGTTTTTAGAGAATCTTTTTATTCCTCCATCCCCACTTTAAAATGTGTGCTAAAGCAACACTGAACTGGGAGGGAGTCCTACTGGGTGTGATGTCAAGTCTTGCCTTACCATTTGGCAAAACTAAAAAAGGGAGATGCTGGAGGATGTTCTTTGGGGGGGGGGGGGTTGGACTGTCCCAGCTAAGTTCTCCTGGCGTTTTTCTTTTGTCAGCATTTTCTCTGAAAAATCTCTGGCTTATTTGGAGTTAGAAGTTAAGCCAACAAAATGGGATGAAGGATATTCTCCAAAACAGCATCCAGAAGATACCTTAAAAGATTCATTTCATCTGTTGTGTTGACAAAGCATTGATTTACCCTTTGGGTTTGTGGAGTTGAGTTTTTTTGTTTGTTTGTTTTTTGTTTTTGTTTGTTTTTTTGCACCTTGGCTTTGCTGGGATGTTTTTCTGTATTTCATAGGGACTGCTCTCGTTATAATATTTTTTAAAATTTACAATCCAAATCAGTGGAAAGATGTACAAAAATCCTAAATCAGAATGTTTTAATTTTGCAGAGAAAGCTCTTCTTCTGTCCTTCAGCATTATTTTGGGTCCAACTGGTTTGTTTTTGTTTTAATTTTTGGAAATACATAATTTAAGAGGAAAAGGATGTTTAGCTAAGCCAGATTGATTGGATTCCATACATTTCTAATAAAACTGATTCTAATGCTAAAAAGAACTGGCAGTGGTTTGAGGATAGAGGTCCTTTAGACAATGACATGCACAACCTTGGCGCAGGAGTCAAAGTCTGATTTCCTGTTTTTACCAGAACTTTGGACTCGTTGTTAATTCCTGAGACAAGAACATCACCACAGATAAGGCTCATTATTTAATCTGGCACCAGTTCAAGTCAGGAGGCGCTGCCAGAATTATGAACTGTTACCACTCCTCCATCACCCAGCTCTCTGGTGGGATGGCCCTCCCATTGGAATAAGGTGGTGCCCCAGGGGAAGATGATGATGTTTGAGCTCCCTTGCCGCTTTCAAATCCGAATCCTTTGCTTTGTCCTTTGCTTCAAGCAACAAAATATCTTGGGTTGGTTTTGTCAAGATATGCATTGTTAACTTATTCCCCAGTCTTATCCTCTTACCTTTCCAATATATAATATTTGAGATGACTGGTAGTGATAAGGGCCTTCTCAGTAGCTTCATCTAAATTTTAATTCAGAAGGCCAAGTTGATGCTCTCTTTGTTGATTTTAAGCCAGTAGCTTGAGACAGTCTTTTTTAAGACAGCATTCACTCCGTAGACAATAAAAACAATTATTGCTTGCTTTTGCCTGTTTTAAGATGTTTTTGGAACTCTCTTTTGCATTTTTAGAAATGCATTTTAGGGGGAGTTCTTTGTCTTTTAAGTATTTTAAACTCAGTACCATTTTTTAAGTTTCAGTAATTGGATACACTTGATTAATTGCGCCTGAGGTGAAACAGAGTCAGGCTTTGCAAATTCCTGGAGAGATAAACTAGGTCAGGAAATCAAAATATTCTGGAAGAAGTCAGAAGAAAGCCATTTTTGTACCATTGCCAAAAAAAAAAAAAAATGCATAGAGGATGGATCCAATCTTAAAACAAAGATCATTTAACTCAGATGAGACTTTTCTTTTTAATAATAATTTTAAATGTAATCTGGCTTGAACAAAGCACACGTACTAAAAGGGCAAGGTAGAAATCCTTTGACTGGTATGGGTGATGTGTTTACCCAATAAAATTTATACCTAGTTAGCAATGGAGGGTTTCTGTTTAGTTTTAATTGAATTGAGTAATGTGCCCAGTGCTATAGATACATCTTTTATTATACAGATAATCCCTGACTTACAACAGTTCATTCAGTGACCATTCAAAGTTACAAAGGTACTGCAAAAAAGTGACTTATGACTGTTTTTCAGACTTAAAACATTTCAGCGTTCCCTGTGTGGTCATGTGATTAAAATTCAGACGCTTGGCAACTGTCTCATATTTATGACGGTTGCAGTGTCCCTGGGGATCATGTGATCCCCTTTTGTCACCTTCTGACAAGCAAAGTCGAGGTGGTGCAGCAGTTAGAGTGCAGTACTGCAGGCCACTTTAGCTGACTGTGTTCAGCAGGTCAGTGGTTCAAATCTCACCAGCTCAAGGTTGACTCAGCCTTCCATCCTTCCGGGGTAGGTAAAATGAGGACCCAGATTGTTGGGGGCAATGTAAATATATATATATATACATTGCTTACTGGTGTACACCGCTTAGAGAGTGCTTGAACATAAAGCGGTATATAAGTCTCATAAATAAATAAATAAATAAATAAATAAAGTCCACGCGGAAGCCAAATTCACTTAACAACCATGTTGTTAACATCTGCAGTGATTCACTTAACAACCGTGGTAGGAAAGATCGTAAAATGGGGCAAAATTCATGCTAGTTGAGGAATTCTGGGAGTCGAAGAACACAAGTCTTAAAGCAGCCAAGTTTGGAGACCCCTGCTTTAAAGCAACTGCAGCTTTTCACAGAGTTCTTTGCTAATTAGCTTAGAAGGCCAACTCCTGTTTGAGAAACACTGGCGAGAAAGAGGGTGAATTTCTAAATCCACATTCATTCCTCTCAGATTCTGATCAGTAGATAGGCAGGTGATCACCTCCTGAGGGAAAACTTTGTATTTTCTCAGAAAGGTGGGGCAAAGCACACCAGGCCGGACTGGTTTAAGATGTAGGAAACTTAGCTCTTATTTTCCTTTCCTTCTCCCAGCAGAGCTATCCTGGATGGTGCAATGTGGACATCCAGGAATCTCTGCTATGCTGTGTCCTCAGCCTTATGTCCAACCTGACAAGTTAAACCTGCCCTTTGCGGATTCAAGTGGGCAAGAATCAGGAGTTGCAGACAGTCACTCCCTGATCAGAGATACTTTCCAGGTGGAGTTTCAGTGTTTGATTCTTTCCATCTGCCCCTTGCTTGATTCAGATGCACAAACATATTGCAAAATATTTTAATTCATAATTCCATGCCCACTTTGGAAAGCAAAGGGGCTGTGGCCAAATCAAATGGCTGAAAATGTCTGTCAGCCACAGGGTAAACCAAGCATGTCCATGGGCGGCCTGAGGCCCTAGGTAGCTAGTAATGTGGCCTCACAAGATCGTAACATTTTAACATTATGTGATATACATATATTAACTCTATTATACATTTTATATGTGGCCCAAGACAATTCCTCTTCACTCAGGGTAGCCCAGGCAAGCCAAAAGTTTGGACACCCATGGCACAGACCAGTGGTGGTATTCAAATATGTGAACAACCAGCTCTCTGTGTGGATGCCGCATCCAGAAGTCTATTCTGGGCCTCAGCAACAAAAAATTAGCTACTGGTTCTGCCAAAGTGGTGAGAACCGGCTGAATCCCACCCCTGGTGCAGACTCTCTCTCTCTTCTGAATTCTATCTTTTCTGAAGCTTCCTTCTTCTCTTTCTCCTTCTTCTCCCTTCTCCCTTCTGCTCTGACTGTTCCTTCTCCTCCTATCAACTCACTTAGCACTAAATATGTTAATTGCTCTTTATCATGAATGATTTGGACCATGAATACCTGTGGCACTCCAGAATTTCAACACCAACTTTGCCTACCTTTGGATCACATGGAAGGTATTCCTCTAGGCTTCAGAAATGGCAAGCAGAACGTCCCTTGAAAATCTGGCAATTGGAAAAGAGGGAACAGGGTTCCCTAAATTGCTTGCAGGTTCATTCTGCGGGTCAGCTAAGATACATGGTAAACAATATATTGTTGCACCTCTATTTTTCCTAAGCATTCAGTATTAATTCCTTCTATCTTTCAGGACTCTTTTGGAGATGTCAAAATCATAAGAGTAGTTACATCAATGTACCTGTTGGCCTGGGAACCAAATGCATTTTCAATGTTGCCTCCTCTTTATGCTTCTCACTTGTGTAAACCTTGACCCATTTAAAGCAATTGAATAACCTGAAAGTATTCAGGAAGTCGCTGGCTTAAAATACATGTTTTCGAAAAGTAGCTAAGGATGTCAGCAGTACTATCTGGTGTGTACCACAGAGAATACACACACACACAAAATATGTTGAAAGAAATGTACATGCCATGGAACACCTGGCTCACAAACCAGCTTGTTAGCTAACTGGCAAACCGGAACAAATTTGCATTTTACTAAGTGCAGATGTTGAAAGTATTTAAGCTTGTTTACACAAATGCCCTTTACAGTACTCCAAAGAAGGAGAAAGAATTGAGAAAAGCAATAAACTTCACTTAGCAAATTGTTTTATTTTTGTTTGTTTGTTTGTTTAGCCTCCCTTCTGCAGAATTTGAGAGCCGGTATCCAAGGAACCATTCCTGGAAAACATGGCAGAAAAGAGATCCCCCTTTGTTGTGGGGCTATTGGTGGCAGGCAATGTTATTATTATGGTAAGAGAGCAATACAACAATATGTCTCAGAAATAGGAAAATTCCTGGGTTTGAATTTGATAACTGAAAAAATAAGATGGGAACAGAATGAGGTAACTCATGGTTCTGATAAAAAAAAAAAACTTCTTTAGAATATTGAGTTAAACCATGATTGACTGTGCTATTTTGAATGAATCATCATTGGCCAGATTCCAATAAACCACCATGATGGGGTTCATATAATACTGTACATGAAATGAGAAATGCACAACTTGAGGCCCCAAAATTACACAGGACCCTGAAAAGGTATGGGTGCAACACCGAGAGATTACAAAGGAAGCTAAACTAAACAAGAACCCACTGCGTTACACCCCTTGGACATGCCAGATGGCAAAGAACCTGGTCTGATACATGATAGTTTGGTGGCTATCAACCTTCCTCTGTTTCTACAGCTTTCAGGGCTGGCACTCTGTGCTGAGTCTATTTGGGTAACAGCTGATCCCTATAAAGTCTACCCCATCCTGGGGGTCACCGGCAAAGATGATGTCTATGCTGGCGCCTGGATCTCCATTTTCACTGGGTTTTGCTTCTTCTGCGTTTGCGTCTTTGGCATTATCAGCCTTGTGAATGACAGCCGCCTCATGGTGTTGTTGGTGAGTAACAGAAGAAACAGACTTCTCTAAACTCTACATTTTCTCAACGCAACTCTGGTTAGAGATGGGAAAGAGCCAAACCAATACAAGTAATCCTTGACTTACAATGATAATTGCTGAGCAAAGCAATTGTTAAGTGAATAATGAGGTCATTAAATGAATCTGACTTCCCTCATTGACTTTGTTTATCGGAAGCCAGTTGGGAAGGTTACCGTTGGTAATCACATGACCCCAGGATAGTGCAACTGTCATAAATCTATGCCAATTGCCTGAATTTTGATCACATGGCCATGGGGCTGCTGCAAGCGTCATAAATGTGAAAACTAGTCATATGTCACTTTTTTCAGTGCTGTTGTAACTTCAAACAAATGGTTGTTAAGTTGAGGATTACCTATAAAGCTTTCTCTTTTCTATGGGAAGAGATGAAGGTCAATGCAAGTGAAAATAACCAAGACAAAGTAGGAATGGCTTGGAATAGAGAATCGTAGCTTCTGGTGTGTAATTCCATTGTGATCTCTGGTCAAAAAAAGTACTTGTATTTTTCTAAGAATCTATACATATATCCAAAGGTCTATAATTGCTGAATATACATCCTCTGTTGCTTCAAAGGGCAGGATAAGAAGCAGTGGATGGGATTATAAGGAAATAAATTTTAGCAGTACATTAGAAGAAATGTTACAAGAGCTTTTTTATGCTGGAGATGTTTTAAGCAAAGTCTGGGTATCCATTTCCATGAATTAAAGCTTAAGTAGGTGACCTTGGCAGATAGCCCTCAACTTACAACCACAATTGGGACTGGCATTTGTATTGTCAATCTTTGCAGTTGTAAATCAAGTTGGACCCAATTATACAACAGCTATTATGGCAATTGTTACCCAGATCACCACAGTTGTGAAGTGAATCATGTGATCCTTAAGTGAATCCAGCTTTCCAAATGGGCGTTTTTTGCAGAGACAGTACATACAAAAAAAGGTTGCAAATCATGATTGTGTGATGCTGCAACCGAATGCCAAGCAACTAAATTGTGATTACATGACTGTGAGGGTGTACAGCAGTGGTAAGTGCAAGTGCAGTTTGTAAGTAATTTTTCCAAGGCCATCATTACTTTGAACTCTTGTTAAATGAATCGTCATAAGTTGAGGACTATCTGTATTCTCATTTCAACATTAATGTTCTAGTATAACATTCTATCTCTATAACAGCCATGCTTATAATCCAGTGTTAAAGGCAATGCATCTCACTCTCAGATGTCCCCCCCCCCAGAAAATGGAATGTACGTACTGTCTCCAGATCAAAAATGGTATAAATAATGAATGTTCATCAATATATCTTCTATGTGGATTTGCTTATCCCTCTTTGAAAGTCAGGCCATCATAATGTCCCACTAGAGCAGGGGTAGGCAACCTTGGCTCTTTTATGACTCGTGGACTTCAACTCCCAGAATTCCTGAGCCAGCTGGCTCAGGAATTCTGGGAGTTGAAGTCCACGAGTCATAAAAGAGCCAAGGTTGCCTACCCCTGCACTAGAGCATGGGACAGCAACAACAATAGCAACAAATGTCTGTGTATCTACAAATTAATCACTAATTAATTCACTAATCCATAGTGAATATCCTGGGGAAAAATGTCTCCAGGTGTGATTTTTTTTTCTTGACATTGAATCTTATTCTCTATTTTCTTATTTTTCAGTACCTGGTACTGATCCTGGTTGTCTACTTGTTTGAATGTGCCTCTTGTATCACCTCCTACACACATCGTGATTTTGTAAGTACAGGGTGCAAATTCTTCCCAACTTGATCTAAAAGCAAAATTTTGATTCACTCCACATGGACAGGAGCACACAGTCTTTCCCAATGTCTGCTTTTATCATGGTGAATGATCCATCCAAAACATAATTCAGTCTGGGAATCTTAATGAATCTTCGTTTTTGTCCTTTGGCAGCCTTATTACTCAATCATTTTCATGATAGGCTTGCATACAATATGGGAATGTTGGCAAATTTCTTTGATCCATTGGCTCTTCATGAACTTTCATGACACCCAAAGCTTGTCCAAAATAGGTAAGAAAGGCTATAGCTGCTTATTATAAGGTTATGGATCCGTTGATCCTACAGTTCACATCAATTCATACAGCTTTTGCTTCTGTTGGATGCATAATTGGTTATAAGATAGCACTAAATGATTCCTGGAGGGGGAAAAATCATTTTGTCTCATTCTAGAAGAGCAAGACAATCTAGAAATATTTGGGTCTTTCTTCTCATTTTTGAACAGTACTTTTTTTTTCACAGATTGCTTACTTAAAAAAGAAAAACCAGAAATGCTGTGCAGAAGGGAATGTATTTGGAAATGTAGAAATCTGTTTGCATATCTTTATGTACGCTGAAACTTTGGAAGTGAAATGTTTGTGTATCTGGGCTTGGGGAATGTAGCTGACCAACATTCTCTCCTTCTTCCCCACCCCAGGTAGTATCAAATTCCAAACTGGTAACCAAGCAGATGCTGGGCTTCTACTCAGCAGAAACAGACCAAGGCCGAGAACTCACTCAGATGTGGGACCGTTTCATGATGGAGGTATATGTCATTATCCAACCTATGAGAACACCCTTGTCTTTTGTCCTTCATCCAGTTGTAGTTCCAAAACTCATGCATGTAGGGACTGTGAAATCAATGCAACTTTACTGCCAGGCTGAGTCAAAATGCTAGCAATTGGGAATTTTGAAGCTAGGGAAGGGATTGGAATGAAATTGAGAGCACAGGACGCAGCACCAGGTATGGGACATCAGCTCTGCTCAGCCACTAATCAGAAAAAGAACAAGTCCTCACCAACTATCAGTTCTTTGCAATATTGATAGGCTTAAAAGCTGCAAAATTCAAAACAACCCAAATTAGTTTCAACTACACTTTCTAAAGGAAGAGTTGGGTGGCAGAAAGTCTGGTCCAGAGAAAGTATAGTAAGTAAATATAGAAAGTATAAAGTCCTCGGCTTATGATCCTAGGGAGCCCAACATTTCTGTTGTGAAGTGAGACATCAGTTAAGCAAATTTTGCCCCATTTTATGACCTTTCTTACCACAGTTGTTAAGTGAATCACTGCAGTGGATAAGTTAGCAACACGGTTGTTAAGTGAATCTGGCTTCCCCATTGACTTCGCTCCTCAGAAGGTGCAAAAGGTGACCGCATGACTCCAAGACACTGCAACCGTCATAAATATGAACCAGTTGCCAAGCCTGTCAATTTTGATCACGTGAATATCGGGATGCTGCAATGTCTGCGAGTGTGAAAAATGGTCATAAGCCACTTTTTTCAGTGCCGTTGTAACTTTGAAAGGTCACTAAATTAACTATTGTAAGTCAAGGACTACCTGTACCCCCAAACTGAGAAAAGGCAGCAGAATATCCTGTTTGCAATAAATATATGATCTTTCTTTTCCCCGGTTCACTTTTAGCAACAGTGTTGTGGTGCCAATGATCCCTTGGACTGGGTAAACTATACCTCCGTCTTCCGAAGTAGATACCCTGAAGCAGTGGCACCCTGGCCATTTTACTGCTGCAAACGTGATCCAAACTTTATCATGATCAACGAGGAGGGCTGCAGATTGGGGCACACTGATTACATCAACACTAAGGTACCAATTTCCTCCATCTTTATCCTGATGTTACCTACCATCTTTGCATTCTTGGGGGTATTGGTACCACCAGCAACTCCTCTTCAAGGCAACCTTACTGATTTGTTCTTCCCTTCTCAGGGCTGCTTTGAGCACATTAAGCATGCAGTACAAAGCTATGCCTGGGGCGTCTCCTGGTTTGGTTTTGCTATTCTTATGTTCACAGTAAGTCATCGCCGAAAGGATTGTTTTGATGTGTTGGGGCTGTAATTCCAAAATTTTGTGGTGGAAACTATAGAAGCTGTGGCTTAAGAAATCAAGAGATTGGGGAATGTTGTAGCTTGAGAATAGCTAACACTTGAGAATTGTTCTGAAGCTCTGCTTATCCGTGAAACTTATCCTGCATGTACTCCATTCTATCTGTCCTCAAAAACTTATTCAGTATTCCAGTTTCCACAAGGACCAGCTGAGTGTTCATGGGAAACTCATCAGCAGGACCAGAGGACATTAGTCTCCTCCTGGTGCTACTCTTCAAGAACTTCACTGGAAGACAATATATGTAGTTCAGGGCTGAACTATGGATTCCTTGGTGCTTTCCAAGCTTAGTTGTTTGCTTGCAGACATTTCATTATCCAACTAGCTCACATCATCTATGTTTGATGTTGCATATCTTCAATAATTGATATGCAGAGCATATTTCTTGCTTGTTAGACATCTAGTTGACATGCCTTCAACCCAACCTAGTGTTACATAGATGTGTTTGGCCTACAATTCTTCACCGTGCCTACAAATTCACAGAATATAATCCCAATTCATCTGTGGGCCATCAAATAAGCAATGCTTTTAGAAGTCTTTCCCATAATTGGTGTGTTTTCAATTTCCATTACACTTGGGAGGATATTGGATCAACTGATCTAAAAGGAACCTTCCAGTCTTTATATTTCATGTGAGGATAAAATTGAAGAGGTTGTGGTGGGATGGATCATACCATTCAGCTTAAGATACCCAGAGTGGGAAAAGGGACCACTGTTACAGAAAATTAAATAGGAGCTTGCAGTAAAAGAGATTTATTGTTGTTTTTCCAGTGTCCTGTCGTTCTTCTGGCTATATATCATTATACCACAATGTGAACAATTCCAGCCAAGTAAGTGAATTTTTTCCTAAGAAGAGGAAGAAGATGAACAAAGGGATGAAGCCCTTCCTTGAGGAAAAAAATCTGCATGAATTCCCTCTGTACTATAACACATTCTCCAAGGCATGACTACTTCATAAGATTGCTTTGGGTGTAGAGGTTATTGGGCATCTCTACATCTAAACCTATTGCATTTCTCCTATAGAAAAATCATCCCAACTATTTTAGTAAATCCATTTTTAAAAAAACGTGTATAGTAAATGTTGTTTAGTATGTGTGAGATTTTTTTAAAAATTATTTGTGAAATTCTGTAAGAAACTTGATCTGTGACTGAGCTGTGTGTATTCACTGAGAATGCCTCGGGAATCCAAATCAACTCAATCTGACAATTCAATTTGGGTATCTAAAAGTAGGATTGCAGTGATAAAAAGCAAAATCCTATAATCTCTCTCTCTCTCTCCTTCTCCACCCCCCCCCTCTATATATAACCAAGCCAGTGGAATTTACAACGGTTTAAATGGCATTAAAACCCACCCTGCATTGACCTAGAAAATTACTCAAGACATGGAGCGTTTTTCATATGCTACATAACCCCCAATACTGTACTGGGAATAGTCCAGTCCCAGTTCCAGTCAAAACAGATTGAAACAGATTGGCAAAGAAGCATCAGGCTGGAGGTCAAGGTGGATCTGTCCGTCCATTCATCCATCTTTGTCCTGTCCACCTATCTGTCCATCTATCTTTCTGCCCTGTCCATTCATCCATCTGTTCATCTTTCTATCCTATCTGTCCATCCATCCATGCATCAGTCTGTCCTTCCATTTGTCCATCTGTCTTTCTGTCCTTTTAGCTGTGGCTAAAATTCATTGGTGTTACTGATTGTGTAGCCACGTGTGTAGAGAAGTCTCAAAAAAGGATTTAATCTCTAGAAGACCCATGATTTGCGTAGAAAATAAGAATAGAATAGAATAGAATAGAATAGAATAGGTTCTTTATTGGCCAAGTATGATTGGATACACAAGGACATTTATGACTAGTACAGTTGTTTCTTAGCACTTGCTAGAATGACAACAGTTTAGCTTCCTGGCTGGTGTACCTATTGCAGGACAACTAATCTCTGCTGTAAAAGCCATTCAGATCAAATGACTCAACTCTTAAAAAGATGTGTGATCCAAGAATTTCTCGCTGCAAATACTAAATGAGGAACCAAGTGGCCTGTTGTCCATTTTTAAATATGATATATAAATACATTTTATTCCATTTCATCTCTGCAAACAGTGAGACTGACCACAGACCCAAGCTGCCAGTTTGCCTTTATTTGTTAATTGGTTTGAATTAAGCCATTTAGTACAAGAATCCCAGAAAAAAGGGAAGTCAACTTATATCCAAAAAGAACTGCAGCACATCAGAGGCAACAAAGAAACGGGGGCTGTTAAAAACACAGGCACATATAGACAGGCCAGTACGGCAGTGATCGCTTCACAGTATTGGGGAACATGGGACTGTCACTCATCTTCTTCCCTTTCGAAGTTCTGCCTCTCATGGAGGTATTGTACAAAGAAAACAGTAGGAAGCCATTTCCTTGGTGTGTCTTAAAAGTTGTGGCTGGCCCACAGGCAGCAGAATAAAGTGGCAGGAAGCCAAGGTCTGTGATGGGCAACTGTGGCCACGTAATTACAGCTGCGAATATTATGGTTTGATGTTCCTGCATAAATTGCAGATGGGAAACAAGCGTGGTGAAGAACAAAGCATCACAATCTGTCAAATCATGGAGGACTCAAAAGTGTGATCAGGCTGCAGGGAGGACCGACTCTTCCATCTCAGAAATCTACCATCCAGTTTTGTGGGATGGGTAGAGACAGAGCTAACCTGCCAGGGAAATCATGATTAACGTGAAACCAATTCTGTTCTGAATTCCCAGGTCAGAGTCCTCTTGAGTTGCACCAGCTTAACAGGCATTCATTTAACGATGGCCTGAAGTTAAAATGGACCTGAAGAAAGTGACTGATAAGCCATTTTCAGAGTTATGACCATTACATCATCCCTGCAGTCACACGATTGTGATTTGATGCTTGGCAACCAGCTCACATTTACAATGGTTACAGCATCCTGTAGTCATCTGATTGCAACTTGCAACCTTCCCCAGCTATCTCCTGACAAGCAGAGTTAATGGGGGAAGCTGGACCTACTTAATGATCGCGTGAGTCACTCAATGACTTTGCGATTTGCTTAACAGCTGTGGTAAAAATGGATGTAAATTTGGATCCAGACTCACTTAATGACTGCATTATTAGCAACCAAAATTCTGGTTCCAATTGTGGTCATAAGTTGAGGACTACCTGTATAGTCAAAAGCATTAAAGATCCTCCCTCAAGCTGCATTTATGCCTCAAATCCAGTTGCACATAATGTCGGAACTGCAATATGTACCTTAATCTCTGGTAAAATAAGTATTGATTGAACGATCCTGTAATATACAAAATTTGGTGATATTCAGGTGGAAATAGTCATCGTCCAACCAAGCGCTAGAAATTGATGAATTTTTTTTTAAAAAGTGCTTGGCGATCACTTTAGTACACCCATAATCATTACCCTGTAGTAGAGGCTTGTAGAAACCTACTTCTATTTTCAGGTAATTTCAGGTTTTTTTTAGCACGGCCAGCATTGACTTGTGAATCTGAGTTCTCTCCAGATCTTGGACACTTAACCTTACATATAACTAACGAATACAATAGTTAACCATGCCCAAGGCTGCCCTGTCTCCCCAGCCTGATATAACCAAGAACATGGATTAAGTTCCAACATTATGTTCTTTCATGCATGATTAGGCCCCTTTTGCTCCCAGTGTGTCTTTGCAAAACCACAAGAGAAAAAAGCTTCCATTGTTTTCGGTTCCTGGAAAAACAAGGAAGGTAGGTTGTTAAGAATGTGGGACAACTTGGAATTTTTACCACGGTGGTATTATTTTGTTGCTGTTGTTGTTACAAAAAATGGTAAAGTTAGTGCAATTTCTATGTTAAATCCAGATGTGGAACCAATTGGTATTACAAGGAGGGAATCAATCCCGGATCTAAAACTCTTTTAGCGCAGGTCGGGACATCCTATGCCTGTTTATCAGAGGAGTTGAAGATTTCAGACTGAATTAGATATTCTTCTGATGTAGAGATGAATAAAGTTCCTGTTAAGTGGGCAAAGTCTGTACTGAGAACCTCTAGATCTCGCCACACAAGAGTGCCAGCCAGCTGGGGTGGCCAAGATCCCAAACTCTTGAGGAATTCAGCCCCCACCCGCCCCCATCCCACCCACCCAAAAAAGATCCCACGGGAGGCTTCAAAATAATGCAATTAAGGCTGTAGTCCAGTTGTGCACAAATCCAGGCATCAGTCTTGCATTCCGTTGTGGGGCTGACTTCCAAGCAAGCGTGCCCAGGAGCAGGCTGTGGATTTCAGGGGAAAGAGGCTTCAAATTTGTGCTTGGCTCTCTCTGAAAGCAATAGGATCCCAAAGTGCATAAATTCAAGTTTGGACTGCATTCAGGAAAAAAAAAAACATATTCTTCTCCGTGATGCAGGCGAGGCATTACCGTCGTTGCTTATTTTGTTTTCTCCCCCCCCCCTCTCTTATATTCTGACAATATAATCATTTGAAAAGGAGCTTAGAGGCCACTTGAAAAGTGCTTTGGTGAGGGGATGCTCGGGGTACGGGGGGGGGGGATTTCCTTCTTTCCCCAGTCCAATGTTTCTCAGTCTTGGCGACTTTAAGACGTGTGGAGTTCAACTCCCAGAATTCCCCAGCCAGAATATTCTGGCTGTCCATCCATCTTAAAGTCGCTAAGGTTGAGAAACCCTGCCTTAATCTCAATCGGGTCCCCAATGGCTGCTCAAGAGGAAGAAGGCATAAACACCTCTCCCTTTTTCCTACCCCAGGTATCTAAAATACTGTTTGTGGAACATGCACAATCATTTTCACAGACACACATATTCGTACACGCACCAACTCCAGACATGAATGTACACATATCAAATAGACGTGAATCCTGCTCTCAAGCACACATTGAGCCTGCAGCTTAGATCACATCAAGCCCTCCCATGCTAGGCACGTACTGTATGCATCCCCCCCTCCCCCGTCCTTCTGTAAAACACACACACCCATTCCAAAATCCTAAATAAATACAGAAATGCACGAGACCAAACATGCTCCCCCTAGTTTTCCTCCACATGCCCCTCTGCCTGGCTGCAAACACACAACGCATGTGCACTCTTGGGAAAGGAGATTGCAAGCGTGCCCTCCGTCTGCCTTGCTTGGTGGCACCTTATATTTCCTTTGACATCTCTGTCACAGACCAGGGGATGGCTTTCTTCCAGGAATTGGCTTAATCTCTGGGAAAACCAGCAGGGGAAGGTGGTTAATATTTTAATTGGGTTAAAAGGATGCTTATTACAAGTTAGAACTTTTGGTTTGAATACTGGAAGAGGAACACGGGGTTGGGTAGCTGTTAACGCCCACTCTCTCCCCTCCGAAGCCTGCAATCTTCTCCAGTGGTGAGCAAGACATGACCAACAGCGCCTCTCTGTGTCAGTTCAGCGCATGGCATGAGCACTGTTAGCAGCCCTAGTGGATTCCAGGCATCCTATTGTGATTCACATTGCCAAAGCGGTCGAGATGATGTAATCCAGAAGGAATCAGCTGCAGTCATCCCATTGGAAGCAAAAGCTCTCCTCTGAGGTTAGATGTCCATGGTTGGAAAGAGGGTAAGGTGGAACAAAGCAACATGGGACAGAACCAAAACAGGAAGATGGACACGCAATGGAACTGGCAGAGGTGTTATGGTGCCCCAAAGGCTGAAATGATGCCACCCATTGTTCTTCTGTGATGTCATGCTGATTTTTTTTGGAGAAACCTCCTGCAGGGATAGGAACTGCCTTGAAAGATTTGTGTGCTCTCCAAACCATAAAGAGGTCCTCCAAACGAGGCAGGCACAGTGCCCAACAAGGGAGCCAAAGACGGGACCTCTGAGTATATAACCTAACCGGATAGATCCTTCCAAAGTCTGTATTTTTTTTCACAGCAATCCGTACCGTGTAATTCCACGAATACTGGCAAGGAAGAGAGGAGAAGATACCCGGAGCCCAGCCCCGAGGATCCAAACTCTGCATCTGGTCACCTCTTGTCTCTCAGCAGTAGCTGTGCGTCTGGCCCTCAGCATACACTGTCCAGCTGGGTCCCAGGTAGCACCCGGAGGGAGATCCCTCTCTCCTTTCCACATTGCCGTACTGTGGGGAAGATTCATCCAGCTTCTGCAAGGGGACCGAGGCCTGGCTCCCCAAGAGGGGGGCAGGCGCATCGTAAGTGATAATGGGCTCCGGACTGTAAGAGGGATGACCCCAACATGCGGAGGGTGGGCGGTAGAACTGCCACACAGCACGGCTGCAAGGCAAAACGTCCATCAATTGGCGGTGTTGCCCTGTGTATGCGTAGCCCCAAGCCAGCTTCTGCTTCTGAGGCAGGGGGGGTCTGCTGGGCTGGGACAAAGCCTGAGGAGCTCCCGGGTCAGAATGACTTCGGGGATGTGCTGCTTCAAGGGGAGGAGACGACGTGGGGCTGAGCAAAGAGGGTTCGGGGAAGGGTACGTTGACGTAGATGGGCTCCTGACGGGTGACTGCTGGAGGCATGGACTGGATTTGCAGCTGGGGATTCTTTAAGATGGGTTGCAGAGAGGAGGCAGCCGGGGGGAGATGGCTCTGGCGCCAGGGCCTCTCAAAGATCCCGTAGGAGGCATTGAAAGTGGCCAGGTACTCTGGGGGTGGACAAGAGGGCCAAGGGCGGGCCAGGCCAGGATATGCAGGAGGATCCCCCACTATCTCATAATAGAGGTTTTCATGCTCCAGCTGAGAAGAGGGACTCCCGCCGACACCCGATCGAGGGGAGACTGGGAAGTGGCTGTGATGCCGGGCAGGATGGTCCGTGAGGCCGGCCTGAAAAGTGGAGGACCTCGTTTTGAGGGGCAAGTGACCGGTCATGATGGGAAAGTGGGGAGGGGGTGGAGGCTTGGGCGGGGCAGCCAAGGGGCTGGACGAAGGAAAGGCATCTTGCGGCTGGCGGAAGGCTGGGTAGGGGACTGACAGGGGAGGGGGAGGGGGATGCAAACCGTAGGCAGGAGAGGGGGAGGACAGGTGGTAGGGATCTGAGAAGGAAAGTGCCTGGGGGTCTCTCTGGTCTAGCTCGGCGAGGACCCTCCTGTAAGGGGAAAAGGAATTCGAGCTACCCAAGGGAGAAGATTGGCTGAGAGGCACCTGCAGAGAAACAAGGCAAACGGAATAAGCAGCAGGAAGGCATTTTAAGCAGGCAAACACCTCCCACCCTCATCCCTCCCTTCACCCCCTTGCTGCTCTACTGCCTGCTCCATCCCACCCACCTCCTTTTCTTCCGTAGCCAAAATCTCCATCAGATTTGCCAGAAAATCCAGCACGGACTTCCTCTTGATGGGAAGGAAGCTCAGGACAAGTTGGGGCCACATCATACTCTTTATCTTTTGGCCCAGATCGCAACACAGTGGGGAAAAGGCAGCAAAGTATAATGGGGGGGGGAGTCCTTCTAGAAATACTACAAAATCTGCACCCTGCCTAATGGCAAAATTATCCCAGCTCTATCCCAGCTCTTCGTGAGCTGATCCCTCACCTGGCTTCCTCCCTTTAGGTTGCGGCTTTGGCTGCCGATGCTCCTGCCCCTGGCCTGCTGCGCCTGGAGTGGGGAGAGGCCAGGTGCCTTGGGGCTCGGGCGCACCATGGAGTAGAGGGCTTGTGCGCCGCTCGTCAGCTCCCCTGCCTTGCACTCCAGCGACAGAGAGCGTCGGAAATGCGTCCGGGGTTCCCTCTGCTTAAGGCTGGCCTGTCGCTTTTGCTGCAAGGCTGCCTGGTGCGCACTCTCAGCCAGCGCCAGCGCCATCAGGCGAGCCGGGTTCTTGGGTGGAGGAGCTGGCGGGATATGCCGCAGCAGGGACAATGCACCGGGAGACACAGGAACGGCTTCAGACTTCGGACCTGAATTAGGAAAAGAAAGAGGGCAGCATAAGGATTGCATTAGGGAAAAATAAAGGTTTCCCCTGTCCAGTTTTCTCCTACTCTTGGGGCAGTGCTCATCTCCGTTTTCTAGCCGAGGGATCCAGTATTGTCCGAAGACCCTTCCGTGGTCATATGGCCAGCAGGACTATATGTTGAGGCACATGGAACGCTCTTACTTTCCCACCAAAGTAGTACCTATTGATCTACTCACTTTCCAACCGCCAGGCGGGCAGGAGCTGAGACAAGGACGAGAACTCACCTCCACACATGGTGCTCAGGTCTTGAACCAGGTTGTCAGCTTTCTAGCTAATAAGCTCAGCATCTCTAACTGCTGATCCACCACGCCCCCTTGTGTTAGGAAACATGAACACCAACTTTGCAGGAAGGAGAACTCAATGCAAGCTTAAATTTTTATTACTTAATAAATATTGTTAATCTAGACTGGAATGCTGGGAGCTTTATCAGAGTTAGGAAAATGATGTCTCTCCAGATGTCCCACTTTTTATTACTTAATAAAGTAATAATAAAGTTTTTGTATTACTTAATAAAGTAATAATAAAGCTTTTGTATTACTTAATGAGGTATTATTAATCTAGGCTGGAATGCTGGGATCATCATCAGAGTTGGGAAAATTATGACCCTCCAGATGTTACATTACCAGCATCCCTCAGCACAGATTTCTGGATGTTGCAATTCAGCAACCTCCTGAGGCCATATAGCCTACTCACCCTCTCATCCCCAGCCCTACAAGACATCCCAAAATAGCAGGTCTAGAATTTGGGAAAGTATTGATGACAGGGGGAAAGGGGGTATGTAGTGTGTTCATTCCAAAAGATGTTTATTTTTTCATAGAAAATTTGTAGGACATTTTAGCAGTGTCATTCCTGGAACTCTGGGGGAGGGGGGGAAACAAACCTTTGGGGAACTGCAGTCTGCCTATAGGCAGAAGTTATGTTTTATTTTACCCACTTGGTGTGTGTAACAATGATGGTAATAATCATGAAGAGTGACAAAAAGTACTTACTGGGTGGAGACAAGCGATCTTGGGCTTGCGTAATCTTGCCACGGACTTCACGTTCACAAGCATTGCTGAGTTGTCCACCTGCCGTACTCAGGAGCATGGAGATCAGATGAGGAGGGGAGCTCAGGCCTCTGGACTCCCCACTAGAAAACATTTCCAGCACTTTGTCGGGCAAGGAGACCGACGTTTCTGATGCATCTTTGCTGACACTGGGATGTGAGCAGGGCGAGAGAGCTGCAACAGGACTGGCTGAGCTGGAGTCATCTGAGAAGGATGGTTGCTGCACAGGAGGGCTACACTGGTAAGTTAGTGGGTCAAAGTCCAGGCCACGAAGTCCAGGAGGACTTAATTCCAACTCTGAATCCAGCTCCGAGTCACCTTCCAGCCAAGAGGAACGCCGACGGGAGGCCACATCATCTGCCCCAGGAGCCAAAACTTCACCATGGCCAGAAATAGAAGAACCCAGAGAAGAACACGAGTGGCATTGTTTGAGGGTAGGGAAAGCATCACTGCTAGAATGTGGACGTCTCAGAGAAGGCAATTTGGGGAGACCTAGGGCCAAGACCCAAAAAGAAAGAAGCTACATGGATCAAAGCTCTCCAATCCGTTTATTCAACAAGCTACGTGCCCAAGAATCAACACTCTGAAGAATATTTCTGTCTATGAAGAACAGGTTGCTTGCACGGACCCAGATCTTGATAGAAGGCAGTCAGTGCTTAGCAGATTCTTGTCTAACTGCATGCATCCTACAGGAGTTTCAGAAAAAGATGGTGCTACCTGTATCTCCACTGCATGAGTTACAACTCAGTGATAAAGAACACCTTTCACATTCAGAGGATCTTACGTTTAACGTCTAGTAGGCGGTGAAAAAGCCTTCCCCAAAACCTGGAGAGCAGCTGCCATTCAAATCTGAAAATGATCAGCCACTGATTTTTGACAGCAGGTGAAGGTCACTCTGGGACACTCAGGCAGAATGCTCCTAATAGCTGGTGTGGAAGACGAAAATATTGGCTATTGTTCTTCCATGCAAGGTTTAGGCCCAGGTGAATTAAATCAGGCCTCATGGAAAAAGTATTGAACTGAAGTCTGTGCTATGTTTAATTTTGCAGTTTGCAATTGTACTTTACTTAATATGATTTTGCTAAGATTGCTTGTTTCAAATATATTTAGAACGTTAAGGACTGGAACAGTAAGAAATAGGGAACTGAAAGTAGCTGATGGATGCGGGTTCCAATGTACAGAAGTATGTGGAAAGTTATGTTCAGCAAAAGGTCAGCAAAAAGTCAGCAGAAACTGTCAGATTGTTGACCATCTGCCTACGGTCTTAGAATGAGAAAGGGTAAAAAAGATTGAGACTGGACCAGATTGATTTGCCACTGGCCTATAGCTTTCCTTATTGGAACTTCTATGTCACTGGACTTCATTGCAATGGGTTTTTAACATAAGTGATGTTTATGTGTGTGTTCCAAAGTATTGCCGAAATAAACCTCTGAATCTTAAAGTAAGAATTATTGCTTTGTGTTGCTACCTCTTGGTTTTTTGTTTTTTTCCATTGGGTTTTTCCACGACACTGGCTTCTTACATATCTGATTTAATGCCAAATCCAGGAATTAAGAGCAATGAGAAAATGTCAAACAGACCAATATTAAGGGATGAAACCAGCTCATGATTCAGAAAAGCTGCAGTCGTCCTAAGGCAGCTTCCTCAGCCTTGGCAAGTTTCAGCTAAATGGACATCAACTCCTGGAATTGTCAGCCATGACCTGGCTGGGAACTGAAGCCCTGCTTGTCTGGAAATCGCTACACTTGGGAGGGAGTGCTTTGAAGAGATGGTTTTTGAGGGTCACCTTGAGCTCATGCAGTCCATTTTAACAGAGCAAAATCATGGGGGTTCATTAGACAAAGGGGTCATTACCTGTTAGACTGGCCTGAGACCTTAGAGATTCCTCACTTTTGGCAGATCGCAAAGTGACTGTCTCACCACGGCTCCCTACAGAAAGAGAGAACAAAGGAACAAACTATCATTATCCCTCTAAAAAAGGCCACAAGCTTGTAATCTCTCCTTGACTTTGAATCCATGGAATAAAAATATTGCCCAATTGATATTTCAATAAAAGATAATGGTATATACTGCTTATCTGGTTTTAAGGAGAAACTGGACACTTGTCTGAAATGATAGGGACTCCTACTTGAGCAGGGGGCTGGACTAGAAGACCTCCAAGGTCCCTTCCAGCTCTATTCTGATTGATTGATTGGTTCCATCACATTCTGCTCATGTCATAACTCTGTCATAATGAGTAAATTGACACAACACGTGAAACCCACAGGTTAAAAAACCAGAAATGCTGTATTCGTACAATATGCTATGTTCAGACAGATAAATCTTCTTAGGGCTGAGTGTGGTGGTCAATTCCACACTCCAAGGTAAAAAAAAAATGAACATATTTTCACAACACACTGAGCCACAAACAAGCCAGTCCCATTTTAGCCTTGATTAGTCTAGCTTGTTGTGAAATCCTAGCATTGAGTATGAGTAGTTTGGGTCCTTAGACAAAAAAAGGAAAGTACAGGTAATCCTCAACTTACGACCACAACTGAGCCCAAAATTTCTGTTGCTAAGCGAGACAGTTGTTAAGTTGTTAAAAGCAAGGTTCTACATTTAGGCAAGAAAAACCAAATGCACAAGTACAGTATAGGTGGCATCATGCTCAATAGTAGTAACTGTGAGAGGGACCTCGGAGTCCTAGTGGACAATCACTTAAATATGAGCCAGCAGTGTGCTGCAGCTGCCAAAAAGGCCAACACAGTGCTAGGCTGCATTAACAGAGGGATAGAATCAAGATCACGTGAAGTATTAATACCACTCTTCAATGCCTTGGTAAGGCCACACTTGGAATGCTGCATCCAGTTTTGGTCACCACGATGTAAAAAAGATGTTGAGACTCTAGAACAGTGGTTCTCAACCTTTCTAATGCCGCGACCCCATAATACAGTTCCCCATGTTGTGGTGACCCCCAACCACTTATACATCACCGTGTGCCAGGGGCGTGGCCAAAGAAAAGGGGGAAAAAATGGCGGACAGCCTTGTTTGGTGACCCCCGTGAAATGGTCGTTCGACCCCAAATGGGGTCCCGACCCACAGGTTGAGAACCACTGCTCTAGAAAGAGTACAGAGAAGAGCAACAAAGATGATTAGGGGACTGAAGGCTAAAACATATAAGGAACGGTTGCTAGAATTGGGTATGTCTGGTTTAACGAAGAGAAGGGCAAGGGGGGACATGATAGCAGTATTCCAATATCTCAGAGGCTGCCATAAAGAAGAGGGAATTAAGCTATTTTCCAAAGCACCTGAAGGCAGGACAAGAAGCAACAGGTGGAAACTAATCAAGGAGAGAAGCAACCTAGAACTAAGGAGAAACTTCCTGACAGTGAGAACAATTAATCAGTGGAACAGCCTGCCTCCAGAAGCAGTAAATGCTCCAACACTGGAAGTTTTTAAGAAGAGACTGGACAGCCATTTGTCCGAAATGGTGTAGGGTTTCCTGCCTGAGGAGGGGGTTGGACTAGATGACCTCCAAGGTCCCTTCCAACTTTACTACTATTACTAAGTGAGTTTTGCTCCATTTTACGACCTTTCTTGCCAGGTTTGTTAAATGGATCACAGCAGTTAAGTTAGTAACATGGTTGTTAAGTGAATCTGGCTTCTCCATTGACTTTACTTGTCAGAAGGTCGCAAAAAGGGGATCACATGATCCCAGGACCCTGTAATCATCACAAATATGAATCAGTTGCCAAGCGTCTGAATTTTGATCATGTGACCATACAATGGTCATAAGTGTGAAAAACGGTCATAAGTCCCCTTTTTCAGTGCCGCTGTAACTTCAAACAGCTGTAAGTTGAGGACTACTTGCAAATGTTTAACCAAAGGGTAAAAAGCCATATGGTCTTCCCCGTTGCTTAACTACAACTCCCAGCATTCCTTACCATTAACTATTGACAGGGATGCTGGGAGTCGTAGTTCAGCCACACTTAGTAAGCCATAATTTCCCATATGTGCTCTGGCTCATGAGAAATCTTGAAAATATGTCTGTGCTTGTGATGTTAGGAGTAATTTAAAAAATGGTGTGTAAGCCAGTTTCCTTACCTGGTAAAGATTCTCCAAGCCCAAAAATCTCTCCCAATCGATGTGATTTTTTGCGGAAAGGGACGGGGGCCTTGCCGATGGCGAAGAAAGCCTTCCAACTAGGTCCTGATATTTTCCGCAGCTTCCCGTTGTTTTCTGTCTTTTGCCTACAAAGTGAGAAGTCATCTCAGAGCAATCAGCACCAACAACAAAGCAGCTCAGTCCTGCTCCAGATCAGACAACTGAAGTTGACTGTTAATTCCGGAATTTTTCACTGTGGTTCTTAGTGAGGGAGGAAGGAAGGGATCCCCACCTAGCAAGTTTAGGTAATGTCCTCGACTTACGGCCACAACTGAGCTCCAAATTTCTGTTGCTAATTGAGACATTTGTGAAGTGAGTTTTATATATAAACAACGGTTGCTGGAATTGGGTATGTCTAGTTTAATGAAGAGAAGGACGAGGGGGGACATGATAGCAGTCTTCCAATATCTCAGGGGCTGCCACAAAGAAGATGTCAAGCTATTCTCCGAAGCGCCTGAAGGCAGGACAAGAAGCAACGGATGGAAACTAAGAAAAGAAAGAAGCAACCTAGAACTAAAGAGAAAATTTCCTGACAGAACAATTAACCAGTGGAACAACCTGCCTCCAGAAGCTGTGAAGGCTCCAACACTGGAAGTTTTTAAGAAGAGACTGGATAGCCATTTGTCTTTCTGCCTGAGCAGGGGGTTGGACTAGATGACCTCCAAAGTCCCTTCCAACTTTTTTATTATTATTATTATGGATCATCGCACAGTCAGCCAGATGTTCAGACTGGATTTGGCATTTTGTCTACCTATCAAGTCCTTACCAAGGACCTGGGATAGGCAGATGTGGATGTTAGATGATATTACAGATATCGTCGCAGAATGGAAGCAGTTCCTAGTAAGGCTGCCTTTTGCAATTGACTTATGGCGAATTTGTCAATGCCAATGGTGTTCAAGTGGTGCTCCAGTTGTTTTGGGATTGCACCCAAGGGGCCTATTACTATTGGTACTACCCTTGCTTGCTTTTGCCACAGTCTTTCTATTTCTATTTGTAGGTCTTTGTATTTTGTTATCTTCTCCAGTTCTTTCTCTTCTATTCTGCTATCTCCAGGCACTGCCACGTCCACTATCCAGACTTTTTTGTCTTTCTTATCGACAATTGTTAAGTCCGGGGTGTTATGTTGCAGGTGCTTGTCTGTTTGAATTCTGAAGTCCCAGAGCAGTTTAATTTTCTCATTTTCTCATTTTATGACTTTCTCTATTTTATGATCCCACCAGTTTTTGCTTACAGGCAAATGATATTTCTTGCAGATCTTCCAATGCACCATTGTTGCTATTTTGTCATGAAATGATATAGGATTTTCTGCCTGAGCAGGGGGTTGGACTAGATGACCTCCAAGGTCCCTTCCAATTTTATTATTGTTGTTGTTGTTGTTGTTGTTGTTGTAAATCGAGGACTATCTATATTACAAATTCATTGCATATAATAATCTGATAATGGTCTTTCATGAAAACATGAGAATGTTTCCCTAAATCATCATATTCTTTCAAGTATTCATAAACAATTAACTGTAATTAGTTCCCAGCAGCTAATTTCTACTTTTTTATTCAAATTTTATTAAAAGTTGCAAAGAACATGTTAAAAACTAACAAAAACTAATACAGACATGAGGAAAACAAAGAAAGTAAAAGAGAAAGAAAAGATAAAATATAGAAAAAAGAAGCTTCCAATTTTCTTTGCAGCAAATATACAGTACATTCTGATTATAAAATTATTTTTTATTCTTAACTCATTTTGTTATCCGTTTTCTTCTAATCATCAAAACCACAAATCATAAGTGCATTTTTTTCTGTTTCATGCAAAAAGTCTATAAAGGGTTTCCAGTCAGCCATAAATGTAGATATTTTTTCTCTAATCAAAGAAGTCAATTGAACCATCTCTACAAGCTCCATCATCTTCACCAACTGTTCCTCGATTGTGTCAAACTTCCCCACTTTTGAGGATACAATCAGCTCAGTACAGTTGTCATATATAAGAACAAAGTTCCATTTTTCTTCTAGCTGCCTATTCATTAGTCGCCAAAGAAACATCTCTGGTTTCAATTGTATATTAATCTTTAAAATCTTCTCCAGCTCCTAGTATCTAGAGTAGGGGTAGGGGAACTAGGACCCTTTATGACTTGTGGACTTCAACTCCCACAATTCCTGAGCCAGCACAGGAATTGTGGGAGTTGAAGTCCACAAGTCATAAAGGGGTCCTAGTTCCCCCACCCCTGCTCTACAGGCTCAGTGCCTCGGTCCATGGATGCAACACTTACTTACCTAGTATTAGGTGATCCCAAAACAGCAGAGAGCTTCCCATCCTCCTGTGGATCTGGAGATCCACGTCTGGCTTCCAGCTTGGTGATCTTGCAGAGGGCCTGGGTGCGTGCCTGGGCTTCTTCAAGAGATAACAAGCGGGTGGAAGGGCAGCTGACCAACTGGGATTTGGGTCGAGAAAGGAAGCAACGCCCTGTTAGAGAAGACGGGGAATAGTATAGTGATGCAATCATGGTGCAATGTCAAACTGGGCTGAAGCCCGCAAAGAGCCCTCAAGCCATGCTTATTTATTTTATCTCAGAGGCAGGAATTCCTCAGCTCTGCCAGTTAGTATAGGACACAGGTCAGCAACCTGCGGCTCCGGAGCCGCATGCAGCTCTTTGAGCCTTCCCCTGGGGCTCCCAGCCTCCTCTGCCATTTGCAGAGAGAGACAGAGACAGAGAGAGGCAATTGTGCTTCCCTGCTTTTCTTTCTCTTTCTCTCTCTCTCTCTCTCTCTCTCTCTCTCTCTCTGTATTTGTGTGTGTGTGTGTGTAAAAGAGAGTGCACTCAGTGTTCTCCGAGGAGCTGAAAAACTTATTGGGCGGAGCTCCTCCCTTTGCTGAGTGTCTGCAGGAAGCAGGAAGGGCAAGAGAGAGCTATCTAGCTCAGCTATGCTGACTCAGGAATTCTGGGAGTTGAAGTCCATAAGTCATAAAAGAGCCGAGGTTGCCTACCCCTGAGCTTGTTGGAGAACAGCTTGAAGCCAGCTTGCCAGGTGAGCAGAAGATCAGAGAGAGGGAGAGGGGGGGGAAGAGAAAGAGAGAGAGAGGGAGGGAGAGAGAGAGAGGAAAGAGAGAGAGAGAGAGAGTGGGGGAAGAGGACTGGCAGGCCAAGGGCAGATAGAGAGAGGGGGGGGAGGGAGAGACAGAGAGAGAGACCCTTTTGACATCTAAAATGAAGATAACACTGCATCTATCCTTTTTTTACCTGTGTGTGTGTATGTATGTATGTATGTATATATACAAACACACACATACACACACAAACACACACACACACACACACACACCTATAATAAAGGTAAAAACGGACATATGCAGTGTTATCTTCATTTTAGATATCAAAAGGGTTTTGTGGCTCGTGATGTTTTGTTTTCGGTGGGAAACGTGTCCAAGTGGCTCTTTGAATGTTTTGGGTTGCCTACCCCTGGTATAGGAAGTCCTCAACTGACAACAGTTCATTTAGTGACTGTTCAAAGTTACAATGGCACTGAAAAAAGTGACTTAAGACCATTTTTCACAGTTACAGCCTTTGTAGCATCCCCATGATCATGTGGTCGTATGCCTGTACCATGTTTTAACTGGGATGATGGAAAACCCGTTTGAAAATGATTGGTTGGTTCATGTGCCATCACTAACACATCCTTCCCTCCTTTTAAAAAAATCTGAATACTAATAAAGGAGAATATTTGTAACTCAGGATTGATATGAGGGGTCTTTGGTGCTCTTTGAATTTAGTTGTTTTCTTGCAGATGTTTCATTACCCAAACTAGGTAACATCATCGGGGCTAGTCCGGACTAGTCAGGATTAGCACTGATGATGTTAACTAGTTCGGGTAATGACATGTCTGCAAGAAAACACGCAAGCTCAGAGAGCACCAAGGAATCCCTCAAAATCCAAATAACTTGGCAAGTGCTTTTAAATGTTTGATGAATTTAAAAACAGAAAAGTGAAACCCACATAAATGAGTATGCATCTGCTGATTTAAATTACAATCTTCCTGGGCTCCTAAGAGAAGGATCAAGACCAGCCCATAACTCAACACCGGATCAGATGCATTTATTTAATCTTAGATTACAGCTTAGAAGTTGCATGAATTGCAACCAGAACTTCCTTAGTATTGTCATTTGAAAGTTTTAAGTGGAGGAACATTTGAAAGCCATTCACAAAGCTCTGGAAGAGTGTTTGAGACGTCTGGATTTCAATTCCCAGAATCCCCAGAGCATCATGCTGGCTAGGGAACTCTGGGAATTGAAGTCCACAGTTGCCAAGATTGAGAAACATTGCACTACGGCAGGGGTCTTCAAACTTGGCAACTTTAAGACTTATGGACTGCAACTCCCGGAATTCCTCAGCCAGCCAGGTTCTAAGCAACCTTGAAAGTATTAGCCATTTATTGAGGTACCTGTGCTGTCCTTGCCAATGGAGGTGAAGGTGTCACTGAAGAGAACCTGAACATTGGTGAGGAGGAATTCAACCACAAGGGACTGAACTCGGACTTCCTGAAAGGCATCGGCGCCACACTGTGCAACTGACTCCAGAGCCATTGACCTGGCATTAAAAGGGGAAGGAATGATTAGCCCCATCTGACAACAGAAAGGCCCAGATAGGAAGAGCATGATGGTCAAGGCCCAGTAAGTCAGGTTTATGGCATAAAGGGGACACAACATAGCAGGAAGGGCAGCCCAAATCCAAAAAGCATCATGATTGAAGTCCTTCATGGGTGCAGACAGAGCAGTGCACCATGAGGGATTATGAGAAAATGAGGATGAAGGGGCATTATGGGAAAAAAACGGTAGGGCAGAATAAGGCAGGCAGATGGGAAAAAAGCAGCTTTTCAGTTTTGTTAGAACAGACCACTTTTGGGGAGGGTGGTAGCTGTTACAGGAGAAGCAGCAACGATAATAATGTAGCTAAAACCACATTACAGAAATTAGCCGAACCAAGATTTTCTGAAACATTTTTTCAGAAATATCGGGGGGGGGGGAGGATGCTGTTTTTTTTAAAAGCCACCCTATTATAAATCAAATACATTCTAAAAATGGCAGGAAACCCCCTCCGCTGATTTTTCAGCCGTCCCGATGCAGGACAGGGTAGAAGTTGTTTTTGAAGCCTGCAAAATGGCTGCTGGCAAAATCGCAATGGGGACCAAGCCCCACCACCATCCCTTCAGGCCAAGGTACCACCAGATGGTGGGAACGAAGCAGAGACACCCAAGGGACCTTCAAGACTGGTGGCTCCTTCTCTCCAACGGAAAGGCTGAGCTACATGTTCCCCTGTTAGCACCGACAGTAAAGCTAGCTGAGAAAAAAATGGCTGGCAACTCAAAAAATATTCGGAGAGCGGTGCAAGGCAGAGTCGCAGAGGGAGCGCCAGGGCAGGGCCATTGGTGTGGGCCTCTCACCGCAGCAGGTTGGGTGCCCAAACGATGGCTAAGTTGCGGATGTGCATGCTGGTGTTTTGACTGTGCATAGCCATGCTTGCCAGATGCCGTAGCAGGAACTCCAGAGTCCTGTTGGGATAGAGCAGAAGCCGCTACAGGGAGAGTCTGCTTAAACCCGCTGAGCGCTCTTCCCCTTCAGAGGCTTCTCCCCATCCAACCTCCCCACCCCCCATCATTGCACTCTCTTCTCTTGCATTTATCTATGTCCCCAACAATGCCTACCGGTAGTGCGGTGGGGGTAATTGCTGGATCACGTCATGTACCCTCACTAAGCGCTCTTCATTCCCAGCAGCTGAGACAGCCTCCTGTGATGGGAGGGGAGGGAAAACAAAAAGAGAATGGAAGGAAACGTGTCACTGTCAACATATTTATGGAGTCTTCTTATTTCTGGCATTTTCATACTGTCATTTACAGGTTCTTTTTATTTCTGCCCTTTTATATTGTCTTTCGTCAAATTCAGATTTCTAGGGAGGATATAAAACACCTCAAAAATGAGCAGCACATTTAAGGCTAATGAAAGAAAAGCAGAAGGATTGTGCACATTTGCAATATTGTGTATTCTTCTGACTTTTGTATCACGACCCCATGCAGCAGCAAAGTTCATCTGAAGTTCTAACGTGTTCATCTTTACCCCAGATCTCCTACCAAAGTGCAACCGAGGGGACTGAGTCAACAGTCAGAGTACAGTATATAATATAATATAATATAATAATATAATATAATATAATATAATATAATATAATATAACATAACATAACATAACATAATATAATATAATACGTAATAATATATAATGTAATATAATATAATCTATTTCTTTTAACAGAGTGACAAGAGTGCAGATAAATGGCTGGAAATAACATCAGGTCCCACAGCAGCAGTGTTTATTCATTTTTATTCTACCTTTATTATTTTTATGAATAACTCAAAGTGGTGAATATACATAATACTTCTTCCTCCTCCTATTTAACCCACAACAACAACCCTGTGAGGTGAGTTGGGTTGAGAGAGAGTGACTGGCCAAAATCACCCAGTCACCTTTCATGCCTAAGGTGGGACTAGAACTCAGTCTCCCAGTTTCTAGCCTGGTGCCTCAGTCACTACACCAGGGGTCTTTAAACTGGGCCTTTTAATGACTTGTGGACTTCAACTCCCAAAATTCCTCAGCTAGTGTGCCTGGCTGAGGAATTCTGGGAGTTGAAGTCCATAAGTCATAAAAGGGCCAAGTTTGAAGATCCCTGGTGTAGGGTCTCCTTCTTGTGCAGGGGTTTGGACTAGAACAGTGGTCCCCAACCTTTTCAGCTTGGCGGCCTGGCCTGGTGCAGTAGGGGGAGGGTTGAGTGGAGGGTGTTTGTGCTTGTGCGCGAAGCTCCATTCACACGAATGGAGTTTCGCACGCAAGCACAAGCGCCCTCTGCTCCTGTGAGTGGAGCTTTATGTGCATACGTGCTTGCCCATCTCTCCCACGGCCTAGTTTTGAACAGGCCACGGTCCGGGAATGGGCCACGGCCCAGGGATTGGGGAGCCCCTGGATTAGAAGACCTCCAAAGTCTCATCCAACTCTTATCATTCTGTATTGCTGTCTGTAATATGAATCTGTCCATGGACTCAGAAGCAATTGAGCCTGACTCAAAGGAGTCTTGACTTTTCCCTAAAGTCTGACTGGTTCTTCCCGCCTATAAATTCCGGCTGCTATGTTTAATGGAGCCACAAAAGGGAACAACTTTTGCTTTGTTTCAATTAAAGTGAACGTTCAGAAAAGGGTCTGAAACATCAAGAGAAGGGACAGTTGGTCAAAGGACTATGCTTGAGCAATAAATTGAACTTCTGGGTTTTGCAGGATGGCCTGTTATGAATAAGAAATACCACCAAAGTAAGAGAAAAACAGTTCAAAGAGAATGGAAAGGAATGGGGGGAGGAGGAAAAGAAAGGGGGAGGGCAGTTGGAGTTAACTCAGCTTAAAATAGCACCACACAAAGAGCAGGTAATACAAAAGAATAATAAAGCAGGAGAAATTGCTGCTTATTACGTGGGCAGCACAGCCGTGGGACAGCAATGTAATTGTACTCCCACTTTTCCACCTCCTCCCTCTCTTTGTTCTACCACTCCCACTTCCACTGTTCTGCCTAAGAGAGGGGTGTTCAGCTCAGAAGGTTGTTGAGTGTGCGTTGCCAACACTCTCTTCATCATTTGCCAACACTCTCTTCATCATTTGCATCTCCAGCAGGTGTACACAGGAGTCACTAGAAGGGATGCAGAAATGATTGGCTCCCTGAGATAGGTAACCAAGGTCACATGAGTATTTATTTATTTATTTATTTATTTATTTATTTATTTATTTATTTATGAGACTTATATACCGCTTTAAGTGCAAGCACTCTCTAAGCGGTGTACACCAGTAAGCAATGTATATATATATATTTACATTGCCCCCAACAATCTGGGTCCTCATTTTACCTACCCCGGAAGGATGGAAGGCTGAGTCAACCTTGAGCCGGTGACATTTGAACCGCTGACCTGCTGAACACAGTCAGTTAAAGTGGCCTGCAGTACTGCACTCTAACTGCTGCGCCACCTCGGGGAGACTTATTATTAATGTTAAATGTGGATTAATATTAAGACATTGTTAACCAATTCAATTTGCATCCTGTGCCGAGTTCCCTTATTGATAAATATCTTTTCAGTTTGTGACACCAAGATTATATTATAACTCCCAAGGAGAGTTCACCTGTACCCATCTTGCATTTCTTCTTATCACTTGGGCAGTTTTTAGGAAAGGTGTCTATCGTTAACAATTCTTTCAGAGAAATATATGAGGAAGGGAGGGAGGGAGGGAGGGAGGGAGGGAGGGAGGAAGGAAGGAAGGAAGGAAAATCAACAATTAGAATAAATAAGGAGATGTTCTAAACCAGGGGTCTTCAAACGTGGCTCTTTTATGACTTGTGGACCAACTCCCAGAATTCCTCAGCCAGTGTGCCTGGCTGAGGAACTCTGGGAATTGAAGTCCACAGTCATAAATAGGGCAAGCTTGAAGACCTAAACCCTCAGTGAAAGGCTCGTGAAACTGTGCAACAAGGAAGCAGCTTCCTCTCAACTGGACGTACAGAAGAGTGAGCTACTAAGGTACAGTTCACTGGAGGTGGGAGCTACAAGAAAGGGAATCTTCTCTAATGTTTTTTAAAACCTACCGCAAATTTGTTGTAGAGCTGATAGGTGAGCAGAGGGTTCGGTAATTCCCGGAAATACAGCTTGCAGAGAGAGCTAACCGAATGGATGTCTTGCAAGTAAACATCTTTGGAGAGCTCAGGTACCCGTTCGCTATCAAATTCATGCCTGGGGACACAGACAGAGAGAATTCGTGAGGGAGCAGGACAAGTTGCCTGGATCCATTGTCACGTTCAGTGAGGGCTCCAAGGGAGAAACTATTTTGATAGAAAGACAACAGTAGGCAGCTCAATGATGCAAAACAGGTGGGATCTGGTCTATGCTATTAGGTTTTTTCTATTTTTTATTTATTTGATTTTTATCCTGCTTTTATTACTCTGTATAAATAACTCAAGGCGGCGAATATACCTAATATTCCTTCCTCCTCCTATTTTCCCCATAACAACAACCCTGTGAGATGACTTCGGCTGAGAAAGAAAGTGACTGGCCCAAAGTCACCCAGCCAGATTTCGTGCCTAAGGTGGGACTAGAACTCACTGTACCCCGGTGTTTGGCCCAAAGCCATCCAATCACCTTTCATGACTAAGGCGGGACTAAATATCCCAGTCTCCTGGGGATTGGCTCAAATCACCCTGCCAGCTTTCAAGGCTAACGTGGAACTAGAAGTCACAGTCTCCCGGTTCCTAGGTCAACACTTTTACCACAAGTCAAAAAAAAAAATAGTTTTTCCTGAGTTTTGGAAGAAAAAGACAGTGAATCTTATCTGAGAATACATGCTCCATTTTTCTTGGACTCTGCCTCAAAAGAGCAAGTTTCAGACATTCTGGTTGGAAAGGAGCCACAAAAAGACCTCAGGTTTTGCAATTAAGAAACAGAAGAATAATAAAGCACCTGGGCCAGATGGTATACCTGTAGAAATGTATAAAATTGCACAAGAATCTTTAAGCCCAATGCTGTTGGATTTATTTAATGAGGTTTTAACCCAAGCTAAAATACCAGCTTCATGGGAAGAAGCCTTCCTCACTTTGATTCCTAAAGAAAACACAGACCTGGCGCAAATTAAGAACTATAGACCCATTTCTCTTTTGAATTCGGATTACAAGATTTTCATGGCAATAATGGCGCAAAGACTTGAAAGGTTCTTAGTAGATTTTATACATACTGATCAAAATGGCTTTCTATCTAAAAGATATATAAGAAACAATATTAGGACTGTTTTGGACATATTGGAGTATTATGAAGTACACAATGAAAAGCAAATGTGTTTAATTTTTCTTGATGCACAAAAAGCATTTGACAATGTAAAATGGGATTTTATGTTCAACCAATTATTGTATATGGACTTTGGGGAAAATTTCTTAAATATGTTTAAATCAGTTTATTCTAAGCAGGTGGCCAAAGTAATAATCAATGGAGAACCGACTGACAGTTTTCAAATTCAAAAAGGCACGAGGCAAGGTTGCCCATTATCACCACTGTTGTTTATATTATCTCTTGAGGTATTAACTAGAGTAATCCGGCAAGATGAACAGATCCAAGGTTTAGAGATCAAAAAAGAGACATTTAAAATACAAGCCTTTGCAGATGATTTAGTTTTTATAATTGAAGAACCATTACAATCAGGGACAAGACTGATGGAAACACTGAGTAGATACGGGGAAATAGCAGGTTTAAAGATAAATAAAGAAAAAACTAAAATGCTGGTCAAAAATATGACTAAAATACAGAAAAATGAATTGGCTGACATAATAGGGGTTCAAATCACAAATAAAATTAGATATTTAGGGATACAATTGACTGCCAGATGCGCTACACTTAAAAGGGATAACTATGATAAGTTAATAGAACAGATTCAAAAAGACTTTGATATTTGGACTAACCTACAGCTCTCTCTTATGGGCAGAATTGCGGTGATTAAAATGAATGTGTTGCCAAAAATCTTATTCTTGTTCCAATGTATACCTATAAAATTAGACAAGAAATTTTTTCAAAATTTGAATAAAATGATGTGTAAATTCATCTGGCAAGGAAAAAGAGCAAGGATTAAATTAAAATTATTGCAGGACTCAAAGGAAAGGGGGGATTTGGTCTTCCAGACTTGGAGACATATTACCAGGCTACAGCATTAGTATGGGTAAGAGATTGGATATTACTAAAGAACAGGAGACTATTGTGTCTGGAGGGCCATGACCTACAAATAGGATGGCATGCCATATTATGGGATCATAAATATAAAGTACATAAATATTTTCGAAAGGCAAGCTCTTATTGATGTATGGACAAAAATTTGGCAACCAAATTATACCCAAGTACCTAGTTGGATCTCACTGTTAGAAATATATGTACACCCAAAATCTACCCAATTAGAAAAGACCATAACATATAAAAATATCTTAGATGAAAGAGGGAACTGAAATCCAGGAAAACCCTCCAGGATGAAAGGATAGAATTAGAATGGTGGGCATACCTGCAACTGCAGATGAGATATTGGAAAGATAAAAAAGAGTTAGGCATTAAATTAGAACCAATAGAATTGGATAAAATAATATTGGGGGTCGGAGAATAAAATGATTAAAAAATTATACCACTATTTGTTAGATCAGGCAATGTACAAGGAACAAGTAAAAATGACTATGTTGAATTGAAGCAAGGACTTTGGTCTTAATTTTGATCTACACATCTGGCAAGAACTATGGGCAAGAAACAAGAAGCTTACTTTGGCCACCTCTTACAAAAAGAACCGCTACAAAATGTTTTATAGATGGCATCTCCCACCCACAAGATTGGCTAAAATGTGTACCAATGTCTCCCCTAAATGTTGGAAATGTAATCTGACAAGTGGAACATACTATCATATGTGGTGGGAATGCACACGAGCTCGTGATTTTTGGAACAGGATTAAAGTATGGTTGGAAGAAATATTAGAGCGAGTGGTAGAACCAAAACCAGAACTCTATTAAGTTTAACTACGCAAAAGCATGACAAAGGCATACTTTATTTAATGTTACACAGACTGGTTTTTGCTCAAAATTGGAGGAATAAGGGAACTCCAACGGAAGAAGAGATCCTGCATAAAATTTTATCATGTGCTGAGATGGACAGGCTTACAATGATTATGAAAGACAAGACAGAACACGAATACTTCGAAATCTGGGACAAATTTTACCGTTGGTATCAATTAAGGAGAACTGCTCGGACTTCAAGTTAATGGTAGAATTAAAAGATATATATAACTGTACATATAATTGTATATATAATTGTATTGTATAGAAGGATGAGGCTTATATAGAGGTTAAGAACAATGTATTAAGTTTTTGTACCATGAGAAACAAACTGTTAGGAAAATTCATTCTGGAATGTCACGTTTGTCCATTTTTCTTTTAATTGTATTATGAATAAAAAATTTAAAAAAAAAGACCTCAGGCTGTTCAACTCTGATGTACTGTATGTGGTGAGATGCCCATTCACATTTATTTTCTCTATGCCACAAAATATGGGTGGGACTTTACTACATAGAAAAGGAGACAGACATGAGGCATACACATAGACAAATATGCCCACCACCTAGGTATTGTTAGTTGTTCCTTGCTTGCCTTCACAAGCTCTCTCTATTGCCCCTACCATGGTCTACACTCACCGCAAACGCTGGATGTTAGAGGAGACACCAGACAGACGATATATACCATCCACGATGCCATGCTTTTCGATGAAATCCGAACAAGAGCGTAATACCTGGGGGACTGACATTACAAAAAAAAAATCATATACATTGTCTTTATAATTTTTTGGAAAAAAAAAACAGACAACAGAGGACTACTATTTCCTGCTGACATTACATCATTCGGGAATATGGGAGGGGGGATGAGAGGGAGAGAATGTGTGTGCGCATGAACATATGTGTACCTTTCAAAATGTTTAATCGTACACCCACATACTTCTAATTAACCTTCTGGGAAGAGGGTTTCATCCTGCAGTGGATTAACTCAGGATGATGGTGATGCTTTTGATAAGAGGAGGAGGAGGAGGAGGAGGAGGAGGAGGAAAAGGAGGAGGAGGAGGAGGAGGAGGAGAAGGAGGAGGAGGAGGAGGAAGATACACACATACATACACTCTCTTAATGATTGAGTCCCTGGATTTTCACAATACATAAGGCCATTAATTAACTCCAACAGACTGGATTCCTGCAGCATGCTAAGCCGCAAAATAATATTAACCAAGGTTAAAACTAACCAAGCATGGGGTGTGAATACAGCCTCTAGATTTGTAATCATCCTAGTTAAGCATGTAGGGTGAACATTGCCGTAATTTTGTTATGATGAATGAGGGTGGGGTGGGGTGAGGTGAGGCCGGGAAGCCATAGGTCCTTAGAAGAAGGCAATGAAAAACAAAATTTAATAGCAGATCAGCCACTCTTCCTGTACTACAGAAGACACAACTTACCATCACTGCCTGAGTTTTTGAGGTGTTCCCCTAAATCACAGCCAAAAACCCTCTCCCTGAGGATTCCCCGCTGCTTCAAACGCTGTTTGCTGGGCCTGGACTTCATGAAAGTACGAAGAAACCCAATGAGCTTGCCATGTTTCTTAGACACTGGAAGAGAACAAAAAACAGGGAAGATGGAGTGCTTTTGAACTTAGGAGCAGGGAGACAAACTTTTCAGTCAGCTTTCCTCCCAGCTGACAATTAGCTTCCATCTTCTCCTATTTCATGAAGGTTGTAATTCACCTGAGGTTGGGGACAGGAGGCCATGAGTCCTGGGGAGGACACAGCTTGTCCCCTCTGCATCTACACAGGGAGACACAAAGAAAGTTGCAAAAATTCAGAGAGAAAAAAGAAAGAAATCCACATCACCAGGACGGGGGAGGGGAAGAGGATAAGAAAGATGCACAATGCTAAGGCCAACTTTCTTCGCACACAAGTTGGGGTCATCCTGTGCACTAGTAATGCCTCACCTAATATTATTGAGTCCCATTCTGGGCCAGAGGCTCCCAGAAATATTCAGGCCCAAGGAAATAATATGTAAATAATTTTTTGAATAGGTCTCCAGACTAGTGTTTTTCAGCCTTGGTGACCTGAAGATGCTGTCTGGGGAATTCTGGGAGTTGAAGTCTACACATCTTCCAAGTTGAGAAACACGCCTCCAGACCATTTCAAGTCAAACCAAACGGAAAAGGTTAAGAGAAGAGTAAGGAGGATCATCAAGGAAATGGAAATGAAATATTACAAATACTACAAAAGTAAGCCAAGGGGATTAAATATATTTAGCCTTAAGAAGGGGATAAGATAAAGGTCTTCAAGTAGCATACCAAAAGAAGGCCATAATTGGTTTGCTCTTATCCCAGAGTGCAAAAAAACAGAAAAAAATGGACTTTTATTAGGAGAAATTGATTGGTTTATTGATTGATTGACTGGCAGATTTTATATGGTCATCTACCGCATATAATGATTCTAGGCAGCTCACAGCAACCAATAAAAATGAAGATTAAAAAATGAAACCATATTAGAAATTTTAGAAATTTTTTTATATTTAAATTGTTATCTATTGAATTAATAAGAATTGTATTAATTCAAGGTTGACAAAGAGAATATTATTGGAAGAAGAGGAAATCAAACAAAGCTATATATTATATGTGGACTTTGGAATATAAAAACTGATTGTTAGTGATTACTTTGTAAATATAAGCCCAGACAACACCCTGTTTACCAAATACTAAGTGTTTATGTTAAAAAATCAATAAAATATATTTTAAAAAATGAAACCATCCTTTCCCCCTATGCCAGACCCAACAACCTCCCAGGTCAAACCCCATTATAGCCCAACGCTTGGGGGGAAGAGCCACGTCTTCGTGGCCCTTCCAGAAGACTCAAAGGGTGAGAAATTGGTCCAAAGGGCTGGGGTGACCATCAAGAAGATGAGCCTCTGAGACCTCCTCAGGTGACAATATTTAAGGGAAGGAACCTGGAATACGCCCAGCCCATTAACCTAGTAGGACGGACAGATACCCTCATGTTCATAACACTCTGACTGGATATAATGAAAAACTTCCTGCGCTATTCAAAGCTTGATCATGAAATTCATGACCTCTGAACAGAAGAGCCTTCCATTTGCTGGACATTTTCAAGCAGCAGCTGGGTAGACATTTATCAGTGATGCTTTAGTTGTATATTTGCACTAATCAGAGGGTAAGGCCTCCATGATCTAAATGACCACTTAACAGACTTTTGAATTCCAGTATCTCCAGATGTTCTCCAGATCTTTACACTACCTCAGACTAGATCACTGATAACCAGAAGGGGGAACTTTTCCACAAAGGCTTCTGTTTATGTAGTGTTCTCCATGTGGTTATTTGTGTTATCAAGGGCCAACTACAGTTTAATAGACAGGAGGATGAAAAGAGATCGTAAGTCAATTAGTTAATTCCCTTCGCTTGAGGCAGAAACTGCAGAGCACAGAAGGCACCAACCTGATTTGACTCCAGGGCTAGGACGTTCTGAGAAGAGCTCCACACATTCGCTGGGGAAGAAACCCACCTGAAAAAAAAATACAAAATCCCTCTAGGTCAGACATGTCAAACACAAGGCCCGGGGGCCAGATGTGTCCCGCGAAGTGGTTTCATGTGGCCCGCGATGCCATCCTGGAAATAGTAAGGGAACGGCCCCCTCTGCCTTGGCCCTGGCCTAGGCCAGCCAAGAGCCAATGTACAATTTTGTGGTGGCCATCTATGCTGAAACCCATTCAGTCTTAGCTCCATAAGCCCCCCCACCCCCGCATGGCCTGAGGCGAACAGTGAGGCTCCTCCAGTGGACCATGCCTTGGCACTTGCCCTGGTGCCACCCCCTTCTGCCAGAGACCCTCAGATCTATTCCAGTCCTGCCCAGCCTCCCACAGGCACCCTTGACGCGAACGATATAGAGCTGGCCACACCCACTCCAACCACACCCATCAGTAGGCTGCACCCACCCTGGCCACACCCACCCGGCCCCCTGAGGGCAACCCCAATGCTGATGCGGCCCTCAATGAAATTGAGTTTGACACCCCTGCTCTAGGTACAAAGTCCCACCATTACAGGAAGTTCTCAGCTTACAACCATCCATTTAATGTTCAAAGTTCAATAGCACTAGAAAATTATGACCCCAATAAAGTGATTTGATTTGACTGAAAAGTGTGACTTACGATCAGTACTCATACTTATGACCACACAATCACAATTCAGGTGCTTGGCAACTGGCATGTATTTATAGTGGTCGCAGTGTCAAAGGTCACAATTGCCATTTACGACCTTCCCGGGAGGTTTTCAACAAATGAACTCAATGGGAGAAGCTGGATTTGCTTAACAAATCACACAGTGGTTCACTTACTAACCATGGCAAAAAATATTGTAAAATTGGGCATGACTCCCTTAACAATAGCATCCCTCAGCAATGGATGGTCATAAGTTGAGGGTTACCTATTTGGGAATAACTCACCCAGTTCCTATTTATACTTGTTCTTTGTGAATACGGAAGACAAGAATTTCCACAGCAACAAATCCAGCCAGATTTTAAACGTGTATTGCTTATGCACTGATCCACACTTTTTTCAATACCACTGCACAATTAATTTAATCACTCTTTTTAAAGGAGACTAAAGCGTGTTTTGCATTAACTAAGAGACTGGAGACTAAAACAGGTTTAGCATTAATTAAAAGACAGGGAAAATAGCACAAGTGCTAAAACTGGAAAGGAAGCTATTTATGCTTTTAAAAAAATCAGTTTCATTTGTGCTAAAATATTTTAGACAGCAATGATCAAATGATCCCACTAATTCCTTCCTTCCAAAGAAATTCTTATAGCAGCAAGCAGGAGGAAGGTCCAAGGGAAAGTGATGGGTAGGAGAAAGGGTTCAGAATCCTGTTGATTATCTGTCATTTCCCTTTGTATGGTCTTGTCCTGGACCATTTTTCAGATAAAATGTGAATCTGACAGTTCTTGTCCACTGTTTTCCAATCCAGCCATGCTGGCTGCAAAATTCAGAAATCCATACATCTGGAGGTTAACTATGTTGGGAATCACTATTTAAACCCAAGGGTATGTCAAATGCATGATGTTGGTTAAACACCCCAGCTTCATTTACACAGCCACTTTGTTTATCAAATCCAACCTGGAAACCATGCTTCCCACGCCACCAGCTCCTGTCCTCTTTGGGGGGCATATCAATCACAGAAATGATGTCTCCAACCTACAACAAAGATATTTTTTTTAAAAAGGATTATATTCCTGCAGAGAGATTCAACATTGTATAGATGGATTCTAGTTTATTGCCAACACATCAAATAAGGAAAATCATCTAAAAGTAGACCTTGATTTACAACTGGTCACTTAGTGACCATTTGAAGTTACAAAGGGCCTGCCAAAAGCTACTCACAGGCCTGATTTTGAAGTTACAACAACCACACACTAACCGTGGTCATGTGATTGCATTTTAGGCACTTGGCAACTGCCTCACCTTTATGGCTATTTGCTGTTTCCACAGTCAATTTTTGGGCATTTTTTGCCAGTTTCTGGTATTTACTTCTAGTTTCTGGCAAAAAGACCCATTGAATAAGATAGATTCACTTAACAACCATGGCATTCAATTAACAATCACCACAAAAAATGTCATAAAATCAGGTCTGGTTATGTGGTGATCCGCTTAATGATTGCTACAACTTATGACCATAATTCCGGGCTTAATTACAGTCTTAAAATTGAGGATTACTTGTATATCTTTTGAAAAACAATGCACTAAAGCAGTGTTTCTCAGCCTTAGCAATTTTAAGATATGTGGACTTCAATTCCCAGTATTCTCCGGCCAGCTAAATTAAGCTATGCTAGCTGTGGAATTCTGGGAGCTGAAGTCCACATATCTTAAAATTGCTAAGGTTGCGAAACACTGCACTAGAGTGTTGCTTTCTTTTTGCTAAAGAACAAAAAATGGATTTCCAAATATTTTTTATCTAGGAATAGAGACAGAACTGTAGTTTGCCTAACAAGCTTAGAGAGCCACAAGCCTACAAAGATCGGCTCTTGGGAGTAATGTGTGTTGGTGGCAGGGCTCACCTCAAAAGAGAGCTCATCAGAGGCCTGTGCAGTGTAACGTTTAACCACGTGAGCAGCTGCAATGGCAGGAACATTGATGGAAGCTTCTTCGTTTACCAAGAGTCGGTTGCCGTGATTATCAATCTGAAATGAAACAACCGGAAGAAAGCAACTTAATGGGATTCAGCTTTGTAACATCCTTTGGATTTCAGGAGTCTAAAATTGGGTTGTACAGTAAGTATAGGCTGTCATCCATTTTCTAGTAGGACAATTTTGCTTTTTAAGACAAGTGTTCAGCTCAACTGGGGGGGGGGATCTATGCTACCCCTGAAACTATTGCCCATCTACAGGGTAGCAAAGATGCCCTCATTTAGTTTTCCCACAATGCTTTTCACACACATTTTCTACAATCTAATGCTCAACAGATGCATTGAAAAACTTCTTACATTATTCCCAGACAGTATAAATGAAGGCTGTGCTGTCATTTAACTAGCAGTTGCTTAGTTGACCATTCAAAATTATGATAGATCGCAGACACTTATATCCCAGATTAGAAGTGACAATAGCCAGGTCCCATTCATGGTCACTTAATCACATTTTGGGCATTGGGCAACTGACTGGCATTTACAGCAATTGCGGTGTCCCGCCCTTACATGACAGCGATTTACAGCAGAGAGAAGAATTGACATAGTTTAGATAAATTTGTTCATGAATTGGACAAAGATGATGATCAGCCATTAGATATGCTTTAAGGGTGAAAAAGTTGCAAATCACAGAAGGGCTTCAGCATTTTTGGGGAGGGGACGTTGCGATTACTCAAAATTATTCTGCCAAATATTGGCAGCCTATTGCTGAGAAGTGGAAATGAGGTTTATGATAAAGCAGGAAAAAAATAAGCTTTTTATTCTTGGCATTTCTACCTACCCTCAAGCACAATCTTTTCTGGGAATTCTGGCATCAGTTACTTAGAGCAAGGGTCTTCAAACTTGGCCCTTTTATGAGTTGTGGACTTCAACTCCAGAATTCCTCAGCCAGGCATGCTGGCTGAGGAATTCTGGGAGTTGAAATCCACAACTCATAAAACGGCCAAGTTTGAAGACCCCTGACTTAGATGATGTTACTACCAAAGTTGCTACAGAATTGGGTCGCCCTTTAAATTTAATAAAATAAATAAGTTGCCATGTTTTCTATCTCTCCCCCCCCCATCTTTAATTTGATAGCCTCCACTCAACAAATCATCCCCTGGATTCTCACCTCCATCCAGGTGAGAACTGGGCTGCAATTGATATTGCTATCCACAATAGCAGAAAGCTTCTCAAGATACTGTGAAAGCATGGGCACCAGGAGCTGTAGGGAGTGAAATAAACAATATAAATAAATAGCTGTAGTCTTTTCCAAATTCAAGTCCCAAGAAGAACCAACAGCAGCTTGAGAGTGAGTTTGGGAAATTTCCCCATTTGGAAAAATTCTTCACAGCAGTTCATCTTATCCAGTAATGTCTACTCTGAATATCAATTATTTTCCAGAGCAGTCTTTCTCAAGGTCAGGAACTTTAGGAAGTGAGGACTTCAATTTCCACAATTCCTTAGACAGCATGCAGCGCAAGGGTTCTCGGAATTGAAATCCATACATCTTAATATTCCTGAAGTTGAGAAACAATGTTCTAGAATCTTGTAGATGGCTTTCAAATGACCTTCCATTTGAACCTCTCAAATGACAATATTAAGAATCTTCTGGCTGCAATTTCTAAGCTACAACCCGTTCCAGTATTCCAGGTGAAGTTCTTCCCTCCAAAATTTTGACAAAACAGGTTGAGGCTTTAGTGTAATAGGAGACCACTCTGATTATTCTTCCATTATTCATTATACAAGCAACAGACCTGACGATGTTGAGCAATCTTCATCTTTGCTGAACTTAAAAGTCAACCCAACTATTGGGAAGTATTAGCTGGCCACAGAAAGTATTCCCTTACACACACAAATTGCAAAATGGCTCCCAGACAGTCACCTCAGGATGAGCTTGCACATGGCTGAGGGGTGGCAATTCAGGAAGCTGAGAGAAACGCCGGTCAAAAATACAGCAATGCAGGTGAGCATCCAAAGTGCGGAATTCCTCATAGCTGCGATGTACCTGCCAGCTTTTCCCCTGGACCAAAGTAAGGAAATACTGTAAGTGGTCTTATCAGTGAGATTGAAGCCTGTCAACACTATGCCTATTTGTATGTCAAACTCAACATGTATAAATGTATTTAGCTCTTATGAGAACTGCGTGTGGTAGGTGATTACAGATTGTGAGACCCAGGTTTGAGTCTACCTCCAGCTGTGGAAACTCTGAGTTAATCAATTGTCTATGGAGATTCAGTCATCCAAATCATAGTTGCCCCAAAGGTGCTTTTTCAAAAGACAACTGGATTCTGCTTTCCTTGAAGGTGTTCCGCTTCTCATCCAAGCCGTTCCCACTGTCAGCAGAACTGAAGACGCTTCTTGGAGGAGAAGCGTCTTCAAGGAAACACAAAGCCCAGTTGCCTTTTGAGTTAGTCATTCTCCTCTCTGCCCAACATATCTCGTAGATATGTTATGGTAAACAAATGGTTAAAGAAAATAAGAGGGAGGAGCACTTTGTACACAGCTTTGATCTTCTACAGAAACAGTGGCATAGTAATTTCACAAATAAATAAATAGCCTTACACTGGACCAGGCCTTATATCTATAGCAGAGTTTCGGTAAAATGCACAGTAGTTAATTATGTGTGTAATCATTTCTTCTTGGATTAGCAGCAACTAATCAGCCGAAAACCTTGCTCCAGATGAGAAGAAAGTGCAACTCAAAGAAACCAACTCAACAGGTTTTGCCAACGGTTGTCGTCTCTCACCTGACAGGTAACCTGAACAGGGAATAAAAGGCTTCCTTCCTCCAAATTGTTGAGGTTTTCGTTTTGATCAGGGGCAAACTGAAGCTGGAAGAAGAAAACAAAAGCAGTTATAGGATATTTCAGTTTTAACATCATTACACCTACCTGCTAAATGCCGTGCTTGTCAAAAACATCCAGGCTATAAGGGATGTTCATGTTCCTTACCCTTGGAAAAGAAAGGGGGGGGGGGAAATGCATTGACACACCTGGATGTGTCCAAAGTCCACGGCCTCATAGTGGAAATGGGCACATTCAGTCAGCTTGGGGAAATGGCCTCGTGTGATAGAAAGCCTGTGGAGTAAGAAAAAGACATTAGAAATGAATCAAGCAAATAGAAAATTCCAAACTTCAGTCTCATCAGGAAGCCAAAGCATTATACGATCTGTGTCCAAGGTGAAGAAACTGTGAAATTGCAACTATTGGCATCCTTTATCATTGGCCATGCTGGTTAGGACTTCTGGGAAACATAACCTCTCCACCTCTCTCTTACGGAAAATATGAAAAGCAATCCCTCGAAGCCCAGCCTTACTGTGAACTCTTGAGCTTCTCTCTCCTTAATTGCTTTGCATTTATCTCCATTGCAATTCCATGGCTTGATGTGGATCAGTCTTCTGCAACCTGGAACCTAAAGATGGAGGCTTCAAGACCCGGAAGTCCTAGCACGCTGGCTAGGAATTCCAAGAGAAGTCCTATCTAGAAGACCCTAGTTGGGGAATGCCGAATGTCTTCAGAAGCATTCTTCATCATCTAGATGCTTTCAGACCTGAGTTTATTATGCAGTCACCTTGTCGTACTCATATCTTGCACCAAGTATCAACGAGGTTGCACCCTTCAGGTTTCTTGCCTGAGCAGGGGGTTGGACTAGATGACCACCAAGGTCCCTTCCAATATCATCATCATCATCATTATCATTATGACCCTTCTATATTTTATTACCACTTATATTTTTCTTCCTACTGCGGCAAATCCATTAAGAACAGAATGAGAAAATAACTGCAGATTATCTTTGGAGTGAGAGTGCTAGCACTTCCTCGGTCTCAAAGTTACCTCTTGATTGGTTTTCCCTTGATGTTACTGGTGGTGTTGCCCAAAGTACGCACTTGTCCCTCGCCTGTTGCATCAATGCTGTCTGTGCTCCGAGCCTGCATGGTTAAAACAAGTATGCACAAATTTAACTTATCACATGCTGCATGGTTCATAAATGTTTTCCGTGAGTCACTGTCTTTGCTTCCCTCTTGTGCTCCATTTTCACACAGCAAGCAAGGGAAGAAATAGCTGTCAGAGAAATTTCACGGGGGCTCAAGAAGATAATCCCAGGGATTGTTATCAGATGTGGTGTGAGTAGACTTCCACTTATGCAACAGAATTTCCCTTTCTTCCCTTCCCCCCTTTTCACCCTCTCCACTCCTCAAATATGTTCCAGAAAATCTTGAGTGACTGCACAAGTCACTCTCTCTCTCTCTCTCTCTCTCTCTCTCTCTCTCTCTCTCTCTCTCTCTCTCTGCTCTCTTCCCAACAGCCTCCAAAAATGTAATAATCCAATCTCATCTTACATCAAAAACAAGCAGACAAGGTCTTGCTGGGATTTTTTTAATGTTAAAAAACTGCTTCAGGGAAGACGAAGGAAAAGGTATTAACAATTCTAGATATTTCTGGTCATAAACTGCTGCAAAGTTATTTTAATACCTTAAAGAGTAAATGCATCATAGCAAAAATGTTTACGCTGTAGTACAGCATCCAATTCAAGTGGTTCTGATAAAAAAGAATGTATCTTTAACTAATGGAATATACATCCCTTGCAAGCTAAGTCCTAAAATTATTATCCTCACTGTCATCTCAACCATCCTCCAAGGAGCTCAATGGTACAAAAATGTGGGTATCCCACATTTGAAGGAAAGAGGGTGGCTCAAAATATTCCAGTGAGCTTTGCAACCGAGGGTGATTTCTAATGCTGGGACTTCCCAGGAAAGGTCCAATAATCTAATAATTATAGTAACTGATTTGCTTTCTTTCTTCTACATTACATAAGAGAAGATACATACTGTAGGTTTCCTCCAATAAAGTATACATTGAACTGAAACCAGCAAGAGTAGTACAACAGTATCATTTGGATTCCAATGGTGCTATGGATGAGCTCACAATTTGCCTTGAACAGAGCCGTAAGAGTTGAAAGGCGATCTACTTCTCTAGGAGATCTACTCCTTCAAAATCCAACTTCTCCAGTTCCTGTTTTGAGATTCTTGTGGTGAGCTAGAGGTTGTGGGTACTCCAGCACTGGAGGTTTTTAAGAAGAGATTGTCTGAAATATTCTAGGGCACGGGTAGGCAACCCAAAACACTCAGAGAGCCACTTGGACCTGTTTCCCACCGAAAACAAAACACTGGGAGCCGCAAAACCCTTTTGATATCTAAAATGAAGATAACACTTCATATCCTTTTTTACCTTTATATAGGGGTGTGTGTGTGTGTGTGTGTGTGTGTGTGTATACACATACATAGATACACACACACAAAGGTAAAAAAGGATATATGCAGCGTTATCTTCATTTTAGATGTCAAAAGGGTCTCTCTCTCTCTCTCTCTCTCTCTCTCTCTCTCTCTCTCTCTCTCTCTCTCCCTCCCTCTCTCTCTATCTGCCCTTGGTCTGCCAGTCCTCTTCCCCTACTTTCTTTCTTTCTCTCTCTCTCTTTCTCTCTCCCTCCGTCTCTCTCTCTCTCTCTCTCTCTCTCTCTCTCTTTCCCCCCCCTCTCTTCTCTCTCCTATCTGCTGCTCACCTGGCAAGCTGGCTTCAAGCTGTTCTCCAACAAGCTCAAGGGTAGACAACCCTGGCTCTTTTATGACTCAGGGACTTCAACTCCCAGAATTCCTGAGTCAGCATAGCTGGGCTAGCTAGCTCTCTCTGCCCTTCCTGCTTCCTGCGCAATTGCCTCTCTCTGTCTCTGTCTCTCTCTGCAAATGGCAGAGGAGGCTGGGAGCCACAGGGGAAGGCTCAAAGAGCCGCATGTGGCTCTGGAGCTGCAGGTTGCCGACCTGTGTTCTAGGGATTCCTGCTTAAGCAGGATTTGGACTAGAAGGCCTCCAAGGTTCCTTCCAACTCTGTTATTCTATTAGTCTACTATATTGTAAAACAATGTTTCTCAACCTTGGCAACCTTTAAGATGCTCATGCTGGCTGGGGAATTCGGGGAGTTGAAGTCCACATATCTTAAAGTTGCTAAGGTTGAGAAACACTGCTGTAAAATATTTTGCTCTTCAATCAAATACACTGTATAATCAATAAAGTGTTCTACATCTTAAATCAAAATGCCCTGTCTTGAAACCAGGCGCATCTTGGGAGTAGAACCAAATATAACAAATTATGATCACTCAACATATGGCTGAAAATAATCTATCAAATTGATGCTTAACTCTACCCAGTCCCTTCAATTCTTCCTTATAGAGCAGGGGTGTCATGCCAAAACTGCACCTACCCCAGCTCCGGCAATGGGGAAAAAGTCATGATATGTCACGACACGTCACGTGATTTTGCGAGTTTGACACCTCTGTTATAGAGCTTGTCTCCAAATTTCTCATCCCACTTTGTGGAATTTGATGAACAGCTAAAATACTGAAGAAAACCCTCCGTTTAAAGTGTGATCAAAGCAGAGGACAGCGATTCCTTTTATGATAGAAAAACTATATTGTTGTTAATGTAAACCACAATATAGCCGAAAATTGACAAATCACGGCGCAAACTTCAAACCAACAACACTTCTTTTTTCTTTCAAAATCGTATGTTGCAAAACCACGTATGTGTATTGGCATTGCCTTCCCTAGCTCCTCCTTCCAGGCTGTTAGCTGATGTGTGGTGATGTCATCTCCTGTGTTATATTTACTATGCATTTCTGGAGAAAAAGAATATGCTTTTTGAGGTCACCATCTGGATCCTAAACCTTTTAGATTTTTAAGCAGAGACTCAAAATCTATGTGATCTTCAAGTCCGTACAGTCAACAGACTAATGCCCCAGGAGCTGGTTTTGATCTTCCAACCCTAAACCTGTCTTTTGTTATTGAGCATCCTGAAGACATGTTGAGTTACAACTCACATCACGCCCAATTTGGTGATACATATGAATTATGGCTCAAAACACCTGATAGAATCAAGTTGAAGTAGACAGCTCTAAAAGGCCAGGATTAGAAGAGATGAAGATTTACTATCTATCCTATGGAACTGCACATTTACTTCTATTGGAGAGAACAACCTGAATGAAGAGGGAGCAAAGGAATTGTTTTTTGGTGGGGACCTTCTCCAAAGGTGGGACAAAATATCTGCCACCCTGGAGGCCATGGTTATGAGCCAGGAGACCTATTGGATGATGTAGTGTTTCTGACTCAAAGTGGCTTTGAAATTTTCAATGGGTCAGTGTTAATTAAGCTGTTCAAAGTTATTGTTATGAAAACAACCTGCAATGTAATCAAATTATTTTTCTCCTTCACCCTCTAAATTTCCTTTCCTGGGAGCATGATCAGAGAACAAAAACCATCCTCCAATTTGGCCTTCAATGTCTGGGCAGAGGCGTCTACAGTGCCATGTTGGTTGACAAAGAGAATGGAACTTGATGAGAAAAGAAGCATCTAACTTCTCCAGGTCATCCCAGTTTCCAATCAAGCAGGCAAAAGTCCCTCTGCCCCCCCCAAGAGAAAAAGGGGGGAAGGGTGTTGCTATACATCAGGGGTCTTCAAACCTGGCCCTTTTATGACTTGTGACTTCAACTCCCAGAATTCCTCAGCCAGGCACACTATATTGTACATGGTTTATTGAACAACTGCAGTTGGTTTACAGACCACATTGTTTATAAGTCACACTACATGTTAAGTATATACCTTAAGTTAGAACCACAAAATTCACATTATAATTTAATATGATGCATTATTCTAGTGTGTTTAAGGTTGTTTGGAAGGAAATAGCCAAATGGCACCCCAAGTCTGGAATTCTATCCTCAAATCCACCTGATGCTGTTTGACATCTTTGGAGCCACAGGTAAAAATTGGATTGCTCTGTCAGCTAATTACTTCTTTATGATAATTTTTAAAAATTGTTTACACTAATTTAATTGCCTCACAAGCCATGCTAAGAATCTACTGGGACTGAACAGTGAGCTATAAAATTTGAGATTTTTAAATAGTAACCACGTTTCCATAGGAGCTGCTGAAAACAGAAGTGGAGAATGTTAGTATCTTGCTCACACATGTTTACAAGATAATAAACAGAAAATAAACAAATATAGGGAGCTTGGAAATATGCTGAGATATGCTGCCTGGCCAAGATCACCCAGTATGTGCTACAAATAATGAGCAGTTGAGCTCAAATCTCTGTAAGCTTAGTCCAGGGGTAGGTAACCTTGGCTCTTTTATGACTCGTGGACTGGCTCAGGAATTCTGGGAGTTGAAGTCCACGAGTCATAAAAGAGCCAAGGTTGCCTACCCCTGGTTTAGTCAAATCAATATATTATGCCAATTCAATTCTAAGGATTTAAAATGAATCATTGAGAGGCTCCATTTACAAAATCCTGATTTGTACTTAAAAGTCTAATTGGATCATAAAAATAAGGGTTGGTTTGCGAATTGTTAAAATGTCTAGTAAATGTAGAATGGCTGCATGGTGCCTTTCACCATTTTTCCTAAAGATTCACCCCTTATCCATCAGAAAATGGAGAAAAAGAACCACAATCTTATGACCACATCTGAGCCCAAAATTTCTATCGTTAAGTGAGACATTTGTTAAGTAAGTTTTGCCCCATTTTACGACCTTATTTGCCACAGTTGTTAAGTGAATCTGGCTTCCCCATTGATTTTGCTTGTCAAAAGGTTGCAAAAGGTGATCACGTGACCTTGGGACACAGCAATGGTCATATGAACCAGTTGCCAAGCATCTGAATTTTGATCACGATTATGGGAACACTTCAAAGATCGTGTTAAAAAGGGTCATAAGTCATTTTTTCCTGTGCCGTTGTAACTTTGAATGGTCACTAAATGAACTGTTGTAAGTCAATGACTATCTGCATATAGATTTCTCAGCTGAAAATAAAATTCTTGCTGGTATTCTTGAGTTATATTCTCAACCTTTTTGCTAATAAATACCATTAATCAAAACTTTTTGAGTTT